GGGGCCCCGCGTCCCCCCGAACGAATGAACGAACAAACGGGACCGGGGGTGCAGCGGGGGCAGCGATCCAGCCCTGCCCTCGCCCTTCCCGCCCTGCCCGCGGGTCCTGCCCGGTTCATCGTGCCCGGTTCATCGTGCCCTGTTCATCGTGCCCGGTTCATCGTGCCCAGTTCACCGTGCCCGGTCCATGCCCTGAGTCATCCTGCCCGCTCTGCCCCTTCTCGGTTCACCACAGCCCAGTTTGTCCTTCCTGGTTCATCCTTTGCCGATTTCTCTGCCCACTGCATCCCCCTGCCCGTTTATGTATTCCCCGTCTATTTCTTCCTATGCGATCCTTGCCCAATCCTTCCCTTCCCTGTTCATCCCTACCCAGCTCATCCTTCCCGGCTCATTTATCCCTGGCCAGTGTCCCCTACCGAGTCCATTCCTTCCCGTCCATTCCTTCCCGGTTCATCCTTGCCCGGTTCATCCCTGTCTGATCCATCCCTGCCCAGTGTCTCCTGCCTGGTCCATCCCTTCTCGCTCCATCCCTTCTCGCTCCATCCGTGCCTGATGCCCCCTGCCCAGGTGTCCCCCCAGTGCCCACCACAGCCCTCCCGCCTCTATTGACTCCCCGTTTCTTCCCCAGTTCCCTACAAATTCTTCTCGGACCCGTCGGGGATCAACGAGAAGCGGAAGCAGCGGCGGATCCGCACGACGTTCACCAGCTCGCAGCTGAAGGAGCTGGAGCGGGTCTTTGCCGAGACTCACTACCCCGACATCTACACCCGCGAGGAGCTGGCGCTCAAGATCGACCTCACCGAGGCGCGGGTGCAGGTCAGCCCCGGGGAGGGGAGGGGGCTGGGGCTGGGGCTGGGGATGGGGATGAGGATGAGGATGGGGATGGGCGTGAGAGACTCCAATCCCACTGGAGCAGGGACCCCGACCGTGGGATGGTGCTGCTCTGCTCCCTGCATTGGCAGGGCGGCAGGCAGGGACTCGGCCTCGGCACTGCCGCAGTCGGGGACACCCTGCTGGACACGCTGCTACCACCTTGCTCTGCTGGAGCTCGGGGGCACAGCCTGACCCCCAGCAGAGTGTGGGCATTGGTGCCACAGCGCCGTCACTGTCATCAATGGTTTAGGGCTGTCCCAAACACCTTGGGGTTGGTGAGAGTCCCGGAGGACAGAGAGTGGCCCTTGTGGGTGCAGTGTCCCCTGTGTCAGTGCAGATTTCTCCTGGGGGAGTCGGGACAGACACAGAGTCCCCCTGTAGGTGCAGATCCCCCTCTGTGAGTGCAGACACACTCTGCGCACACACGTGCCAATGCAGACCCATCTTTGTGGGGTCCTCTGCGTGGAATCCCCCCGTGTCAGTGAATGCCCCACTGTGTGGCTTCAGAGCCCCTCGGGGAGCACAGAACATCTGTCCCCATAGGAATGCAGGGACCCGTAGGAGTGGGGGTCCTGGCCCCTCCCTCCAGGGGGATGTGGGAAGTGTGGACCCCCCTGTTGGCACCAGGGGGGGTCACCAGCCGGGGCCGTGGGCTGTGGGCTCTGGCCGCACAGGGGCAGGTGTGGGTGCGGTGTGGTGATGTCCCCTCCCCATGTCCCTCCCCTGCCAACACCGGAGCGCACGCCAGCTGCGCCTGGCGCCAGCCTCACAAATCTACATTATTGCGGATATATGGATCCCTCTGGCGATGTGGAAGACATTTTCCCCGAGGGAATGCAGGGTTGTGAACCCCACCCCCGAGCATGGGAGGGCTGCCTGCACCCACAGGCTCCCCGAAGCCCCAGGGACCGCGGCAAGGGGTGCTCCCATCCCCTCCATCCCCCTCCAGGTGTGGTTCCAGAACCGTCGAGCCAAATTCCGCAAGCAGGAGCGCGCCGCCAACGCCAAGGGTGCCAGCGGCACCGGCAGCAGCGGGAAGAAGTCGGAGCCACGCTCCTCCTCCGAAGACGACGAATCCAAGGAGTCCAACTGCAGCCCGACCCCCGACAGCACGGCCTCGCTGCCCGCCGCCGCCCTGGGCAGCCCCGGCGGCAGCCTGAGCCCCAGCCCCGGCGCGGGGGCGCCCCTGGGACCCGGCCATGCCCCCCAGCCCCTCAAGGCGCCGCTCTGGGCGGGGGTGGGGGGCGGCAGCGGAGCCCCCAACACGGCCGAGCTGCTGAAGGCCTGGCAGCCCACCGAGGCTGTGCCGGGACCCTTCTCCGGCGTCCTCTCCTCCTTCCATCGGAAACCGAACGGCATCAAGACAAACCTCTTCTGATCGCCGAGCCGCCGGATCCGCCTGCCCCCCGAACCCCCTCGGCCCCCGCCCTGCCCCCTGCACCCACCGCCCCCAGCACGGAGCCACCGCGCCGCTCCAGCGAGCGGGGACAGGGAGCGGGACCGGCCCTGCCCCTCCCGGACCCTGCGTGAGTGGGGACAGCTCCCGGCGACACCCGTGGGTGCTGCGGGACCGCGGGGGCGCCGGGCGGGGACACCAGCCCCGTGCTCAGCCAGCGCGGCCCTGGCAGAGCCTGCGGGTGGGGGCAGATGTGGGGCTCCCACAGCGCTGCGGGTGCTCCAGCAGAGCCCCCTCGATGGTCGGTGCCGCCGGGCTGGGGGCAGGATGCACTTTATGGGGGGCTCTGGGCTCACCGGGGTGGGCAGCGCCGGGCACCCCGCTAGGGAAACGCCCCTTGGTGCGGGGAGGAGCTGATCCCACCCAGATCCCGCCTGCTGGCATGGATAACCCCGGCAGGGAAGCGGTCACCCACCCCAGCCCCGAAGGCTGTGGGCAGTAAATGCGGGGCTGGGAGGTTCAGCGCTCTCCTGCATCGCTGCAGGCGCTGCCAGGGGGGACAGGGAGCCAGAACTGCCGGGGTGAGGTGCTCCCCTCGGGAGGGTGATGTGGGATGGAGCCCTGGCACAGCCAGTGGGATGTCTGGGAGCAGCCAGGACCCCTTGTCAGCAGCAGAGTGGGTGCTCCCACTGAAGCTGGCAGTGGGACACCCCGCACACTCCCATGACCTCCTCAAGGTTCCCGAAGCAGGGGTGGTGCTGGTGGTGCCCACTCACCCACTACACCCTGCTGCTGTGCTGGTGGGTTTCAAGGCATGGTGAGGATGCTGGCAGCCCATCCATGGATCCCTGTCCCCCCTGTATCCCTCCCAGCTCCCCCGAGGTGGGTTCCCCACTTTTCTTTCGTTTTTTTGGTTTGTTTTTTTTTTTTTTAACCATTCTGTAATTTATTACCCATGTTTGCAAATGCCACTAATCCAAATTAAACTTAATTTATTGACAGTGCTGCTGGCCCTCAGCCCCTGTTGCACCCCACTCCCACCAGGGGTTGCAGGGGTAGGGGGGCTGCACAGTCCCCACCCCTGGACCCTCTGAAACCCACCAGAACCCCCCAGGTGATGCCACGGACCCCCAGCACCTCAGGGATTATTTTGGGTGCCCCCACTCCAAGACTCCCAGCAGCTGTAGGACGCTGAAGGGGCACCCCATGGGAAGCCCCCCCAAGTGGGGTGAGGAGAGGGGTGCCCCACACAGCCCCCCTGGCCTCTAGGGGCCCTTTGGGGGGTGATGATGAAGAAGCTCTTGGGGGCATTGGGAAGGTGACAAGGAGCATGCCAGGCTGTTGGGGGAGGTCTGAGGTGCCCAAATGGGCAAGAAGGGGACAAGGGAGCTGGTCCCCACCTTGCTGGGGCCAGTACAGCCAGCTTGGAGGGGTCACAGATTATGCTGGGACACAGCTCGTCCCTCTGGGTCCCCACCTTGCCCCCCTCCCCACACTGAGAGCTCCAGCACACCCATTGCATGAACATGATAAAAACCACTCCAGGTTTACAAACACCTCCAAACACAGGAGCTGGGGTTTAGTGGGGGGAGTTCACCCCCCCAGTAACAGAGGGGGGAGGTTGGGGTACGCCAGGGGCACCTGGCCCATCCTTCATCTCAGCCGGAGTGAGGGGTGGGGGGTCTGGGGTAGCATCACCCCCACCCCTCCGAGGACAGGGAGAGCCTGGAGGGAGCATCCCAGAGGGGAAAGCACAATGGGAGCAGCCCTGCCCTGGGGCTCCCACCCTGGGGACCCTCCTGGAAGGACACTTGGCGAGGCTGGGGCTGAGCACCCACAAGGAGAGCCGGCTGCCAGCCCTGCTGTCCCCAAGGGTGACACAGACCCCCGTGGGGACAGACCCAGCCAGTGCCAATGGGCAAACGGGCTGGGATGGGGGATCTGCCCCGCAGGCACTGCTGGTGTGGGATGGGCTCTGGGGGAAGGCACTGAGCTGGCTCTGCTCTGACAGGATTCCCAGGCTGGGGATGGACTCCCAGCACGGGGACAGGCACTCCCAGAGAGGGGACAGGGACTCCGGGGGCAGGGACGGAATCCCCACAATGGGAACAACAGGACCCCTGGGAATGGAACCTCTGGGTGGGGTGGACCCTCAGGGTGGGGTGGGACCCCTGGGAATGAGGACAGCACCCCCAGGGTGGGAACAGCACCCCCAAGGTGGGAACAGGGACCACCATAGCGGGGATGGGACCCCCAGGAATGGTAACAGGGACACCTGGGTTGGAGATGGAACCCCCGGAGATGGGGACAGGGACCCATGGGGTGAGGACAGGAACCCCCAGGGGTGGGGACAGCACATCCAGAGCAGGGATAGGGATCAGAGTGGGGGTAGAGCCCCTGGTGTGCAGATATGAGGTCCAGGGTGGGGACAGGATGCTCTGGAGCTGGGAGAGGGACCTACAGCAAGGGGAGGGGGCCCCCAGGGATGGTGACAGGCACCTCCTGGGTGGGGATGGGGATCTTCCAGGGTGGGAATGGGACATCCATCTTGGGGACAGGGACCCTGAGGGGGACAGGTGCCTTGGGGTGGGAACAGGGATGCCCAGGGTGGAGACAGGAACCTTCAGAGTGGGGATGGGACCTTCAGGGTGGGGACAGGATCCTTAGAGTTGGGGACAGGGACCCTGAGCTGGGCCTAGTGTTGTGTGTGGGGGCTGGCTGAGGTATCCCATCCCAGGCATCATGAAGGCACTTGGGTCGAGACATGACTTTGCTCAGAGCCTCCTCCTAGCTGTGAGGGCTCATGGGGGGAGCCAGGGTCCCGACCAGGGAGCCAGGTTACCCCCAAACACCTCTTCCCCCATCCCTTCTCCCAATAAATAAAAAAATAACTTAAATGTGAGGACACCCCGTGGGTATCCTCATGTGAAATTATCTGACCAGGACCCACCACCCCCCTGTCCCCCACTCCCCCTTCCTGCCCCATTACCCTGCACGCAGGGTGGGGTGGGCTGTGGAGCTCATGGGGTTCCCACTTGCTGCTGGTGATGGTGGGATGCATGGATACAGGGTGTGGGGCTGTGGGATGAAGGATCCTCAGCTGCAGGATGCACAGCTGCAGGATCTGGGATGCACATCCATGGGACCCAGGATATGGGGTCACAGGATGCCGGGCTGCGGACACACGGCCGCAGGATCTGAGGGATCTGGGATGTGTGGCCGCAGGATCTGGGATGCTCAGCTGCAGGATGCAGGGCCACAGGCTCCAGGACACGTGGCAGCAGGATACAGAATGCACAGCCATGGGGTCCAGGATGTCCATCTGTGGGATGCAGGATGCTGGGCCACAGGACACACTACTGCAAGGTGTGAGACGCGGGGCTGCAGGATCTGGGATGCCGGGCCACGGGAAGCACGGGACGCTGGATGTGCGGTGGCAGCTACTTGCGGAGCTGGAGGCTCTCCAGAAGGACGCGCTTGTGGCCGGGCTCCAGCACTCCAGCCTCCTCCAGGTCCTCCTCTGTGATGTCACTGGGAATGAAACACAAATATGGGGCTCTCTCACCCTGAGGGGCACCCCACCCCACGTGGGAGTGCAAGAGCCCCCACTCAGGCTGCTGGGTGCACACCCAGGCTCCATCCTGTCCCTACCGTGGGGTTTTGTTACCCTCAGGGGGCACTGGGGATCCCAAGAGGCAAAGGGCACAGGGGAGCAGTGGGGACCCCTAAGGGCAGCACAGAACCTTTGGGGGCCCTCCGGGGACAGTGGGGATTCCCAGGGGAAGTGGAGACCTGCAGAAGGCAGTGGGGAACACCCAGGGATAGCAGGGACCATCAAGGGCAGCACCCCAAGAGACCTCCCCAGAACCCAGGCATCACTGTGACCCCCTGGGGAAGTCATGCACTCACTGGGGCTGGCCAGGCTGGGGGTGGGAGTGGGTGGGGGTCCCTGCCCACCATCCTGGGGGGCTGCTCACCTGAGGAACTCCAGGTCGTCCCAGCCGTTGCGCACCAGCCCCTCCTCGTACCGCTCCAGCCCCAGCGCCCGCAGCCACTCGCCCACGCCGGGCACGGTGCCCACGCCGCGGCCCAGCGCCTGCGCCCCAACAGCCTCAGCACCATTGGGCACCCCAAAGGGAGCCCCAGCCGAGGCGCCGAGGACCCCCACCCACCCTGCATCACCCACCTCCTCAGCCAGGTCCTCCTGGATGCTCTCCTGGATGGAGTGGGGAGGGAAGGCAAGGGGGCGGCCATAGTCAGGGTGCAGGCAGCGGGGAGGCAAGGCCCCCTTGGCCAGCAGCGGTGGTGGGGGGACCACCCTCCCCTTCCCACCCCCGTAGTCCACCTCACTCAGTGTCTTGGCCATCTGCAGCACCGAGCAGGAGCGGTCATCCAGCAGCCCTCCCGACAGGCCCCCAGGAGCGGGCAGTGCCCCAGGAGCGGGCAGTGCCCCAGGAGCAGGCAGTGCCCCGGGAATGGGCAGCGCCCCAGGAGCGGGCAGTGCCCCAGGAGCGGGCAGTGCCCCGGGAATGGGCAGCGCCCCAGGAGCGGGCAGTGCCCCGGGAACGGGCATCCCGCCAGCCCCCTCCATCCCAAATCCAGCCCTGGCGGCTGGGGGTGGCCGGGGGTGCAGCTTGGGCAGGGGAGCCTCTCCGAAGGCAGCAGGGTGGGATTTGGGGTCCTCACACCCGCTGGATGCCAGCAGCTCCTTGGGGGTGCCCAAGAAGGTGTTTTGGGGGAGCTCCAGCTCCCGGGGCAGCGGCGGCGGGGGGAAATCCGGCGGGGGCAGGTTCAGGGTGCCCAGCTCCTCCTCCTCATCGCTCTCGCCACCGCAGCATGCCGAGGGGCACTGGCAGCGCTCCGGCACTGCCACCTGCACCTTGGCCTTGGGGGGCTTGCCGGGGTCCCCCGGCACCAGCAGCTGGTGGGGGACCCCCTCCAGCACGTAGTACGCTGGGTTGTTGAAGCTGTTCTTCAGGGGACCCCCTGAGAGCTCCGGCACTGCCTCCACCTTGGACCTGTGGGGACAGGGTTGAGCGTGGCACCTCCACAGGAACCCCGCCTCCCTAGCCCTGCCCACGCTCCCTCACCGGCTCGGGGTGGCCTCGTCCCTGGGGGCGCTGCGGTGCGGGGCGGGGGGACGCGGCGCTGCTGTGGTGCTGCTCTTGTCGGGCTCCTCCGGCAGCTTGGCCAGGAGGGTGGTGGGGGGCTCAGCACCCGTGGGCTTCCGCCCCACAGACCTGGCAACAGGAGGGGTTGGGTGGCCCACGGGGCTTGAATGTCCCCAGCGGGGTTCAGACCCCCAGGAGAGGGCTCAGATCACCCAGGACAAGGTTCAGACCCCATGGGATGGGTCTCAGCAGCCCAGATCAGGGCTCAGATCCCCAGCATGGGGCTCTGCCCTCTAGGATGAGGTTCAGCCACCAAAACACAGCCAGAGCCACATTTGGAGGCTCAGAGCCCCATCCCTGCCCTGTGTGGCACAAAACTGGCATCAGGACTGTCCCCGGTTGCATCCCACACACCAGCCTAGAGGGATACTCTAAGCAATAGCTGTGCTCAGGTAAATCCCTCAGACCTCCCGACCCCCAGGTGCCCCCCACTCTGCCAAGCCCTGTCCCTCATACTTGGCATTGTCCTGGGTGGCCCTGGCACCTAGCAGCACCTTCCCTTTGCTGGCTGTCGTCTCATCCTTATCGATGCTGATCCACTCTGCCAGGGAACAGGGGCTCAGTGGCGGAGTCCTCTCCCCAGGGTGCCCCCCTGGGTGAGGGGTGCTCACCATAGAGCCTCTCACGGGTGCCCAGGCGCTCCGTGGGCACCCAGACCTTCATGGAGCCACGGATATTGCCGGTCTCCTCACCGCGGTGGGACAGGTAGGTGAGGAACTGCTGGGCTGTGCTGCCAATCATGGACTTCAGGGCAATGACACACTCCCCTGGGGGTGACAGTGGGAGAGGTTGGGGATCTGCAACCCACAGACCCCCGGGGCTAGTGTGGTGCTGGAGTGGACACTCACCATAGGACTCGTAGCCATCAAGGGATTTGACAGTGAGCAAGAGGTGCTGGTCCTGCAGGTACTCAATCTCAGAGAGGATGGGCTTCAGCTGTGCCAGAGGGAAGAGGGTGCTGGCACTGAGCACGGGTCTCCCTGTCTGCAGCTTCCCCCAGCACCCACCCTGCCAGCCCCCAGCCCCTCCTCACCGTGGGCAGCTGCCGGGATGACCACTGCACCTTGAGGAAGTTGATGTTGTCACTGCTCTGGCTGTCATTCTCGAAGCTCTTCTTGAACTCTGTGGTGGTAGCAGGACATGGCATCAATCTTTTAGCCTCCCAGGATGCTATGAGCTTCCTGGGACCTGTCTCAAGCCCTCTGGGACCCCCCACTGCCATTCCAGTCCTCACCTTCCAGGCAGGTAGAATAGAACTCGATGAAAAACTTGGTGCGACTGGAGGTCTTCACGATGGCTTCTATGCTCTCAAACTCGATGTACGCCTGCTCTGAGGACTTGGAGAGCCCTCCATGGAGAGGCAAGACATTGGAATCTCCCTGGGGCCTCTCCATTTAGAGGGAGAGGTTGGACCATGGAGGGGCAGGGGACAGCAAGGGATCCCCTAGGGCATAGGCACCTTTTTTGGAAACGAACTGCGATGTCACTCCCACTTCAAAGGAGCCGAAGACGGGTGAGTGGTCACTGGTGACAATGTCATCTGTGCACCCTGCAGCCAGTGGGAATGGAGAAGAAGTTAGAGTGGAGGGGAGGGGACCGTCCCCAGAACAGAGTGCTGGGGGTGGTTACAGTGCTCACCATAAGCGTTGCAGTTGACATGAGTCTCGGGGTAGGACTTCCAGAGGATGCGGTCACACCAGGACGGCACGTTGGTACGCACCTGGCAGGGGTGGGGAGTGGGTGGGGGTTCAGATTGGGGTGTCCTCCACTCCCCCAACTCCCCCTACCCAGCACCTACCCCTGTGGGCTTCTGCTTGTGCCAGACATAGGTGTCCCGGGAGCCCCGCTCATAGCGGTAGGTTGGGGGGAAGGTGATCTCCTCCTCACCTGCAGGGACAGCAGTGGGTCACGACAGTCCCCACAGCAGGGGCTGCAGCACCAGACCCTCTTGGAGCCCCCCAGTTCTCACCAAAGCGCAGGAACACCTTGTGCTTCTCCTTCTCCAGATTGAGCTGATCCACCTTCAGCAGCGGCTCCAGCTCCTTGCGGCTGATGTAGTTGAGGATCTCCTGTGGGGAGCAAGGCGTTGGCACTGGGCTGGGAGGGGGACCCTGACACTCCCAGCTGCCTTGCCACCCCCAGCCACCCCTTCCCCTGACCTGGATGTCCATGTCTAGGCGGTAATTGAGGTCCCCAAACCAGAAGAGGTGAGTGAAGCGAAGCGAAATGTCAAAGGAGCTCAGCTGCTTATCCCCCAGTGAGAGCAGGCGCAGGATGTCCAGGTAGTTCTGGTTCCTCCTGAAGCAGGGGATACAGGGACAGGGTGTCACAGATACAAGGACAGGGCCTGTCCCAGCCCAGCCCAGGGTGGGGGTGCTCACCGTGCAGTCTTCTCATTGCCAGAGGTGAGGTGGCAGTTGACAAAGCCAAAGGAGGTGCCATTGAACATGAAGGAGACACCCACAGCGCCCTTGTTCCCTGTGAGGAATTGGGGACAAGGGATGGGATCAGGCAACCCCTGATTCTGTCTCGGGGATGGACACCCAGCCAGCCCCAGGTCACGGTGATGGGGCACAGTCCCCACCTGGCACAGTCCCCACGCTGAGAGGCCTCCTCATGAAACACCCCCCAGAGTCCCTCTCATGCAAAGCACACCTATCCAGGCCTCCACATGCAACACAAACATTCCCAGAACCTTCCCTGTGCACTGCACACAGATCCCTCCTCGTGAAACACCTGTGCTCTGGGATCCCTCCCCAAGCACCAACAAGACCCCTCCACGTGCAACCCTGGGACCCCTCCCCATGCAATGCCCACACACCAGGCTCCTCATCATGCAAGGTACACATGCTGAGACTCCTCCTCATGCCACACATGCAACAACAGGACTCCCCCCCCAATGCAGACAGCCCAGGAGCCCCCCTGTGCAGTGCACAGCCCGTGTCCCTCTGTGCCCTGCTGTGGCCCTACCCAGGGTGTTGGCGATCCCTGTCTTGACGCTGGAGGTGCTGACGTGGCTGATGCGGTTCTCGTGCTCTGGCTTCACCAGCACCACCACCTTGATGTTCCACAGGGACTGCATGGCCACCTGTGGGTGCCAGCACCCTCAGCCCCCTGCCAGCAGGCCCTGGGGCCCCCTGGGGCCACGGGGGCCCCTCTGGTGTGTCCACAGGGAATGCTCATTGCTGCTTCACCAAGGGCTGTTGCCCATGGAATCCCACCACCATCAATCAGCATCCACAGCTACCCAGCACCAGGAGACCACCCCAAAATACCTTATGTCACCAGACCCGGAGCACCCACAGCCACCCAGCACCACGAGAGCACCTCAGAACAGCCGGTGTCACAGAGCCAGAGCACAGCCACCCCCGGGACACTGAGCATCACACACCTCCACCACCCACCAGTGCCTGCACCCTACAGCCCCAAGGTCCCCTGGTGCTTACCGGGCGGTACTCAACCTCGGTGAAGTCCTTGAGGACGGAGCGCAGGAAGTCCACCCACTCCTTGTCTCCCAGGGAATTCTCCTGGGTGCCAAAGACGTAGATGTCGTGTGGTATGGCCATCGTCACCTCGTCCAGGGTCTTGCCCAAGCCCTTGGAGGTGATCCATGAAGTGATGTTCTTGGGGGGGGGAACGCTGCCTGCAGGGGGGACAGCACGGTTAGGGGGCGACCCCAGGGCCCTGACACCCCACCAAGGGCTGCCCCTGGCCTTGCTCACCCATGTTCCAGGTGCCGATGAAGACAGAGATCATGTCAGGCTCGTCCTGGTGAGAGTGCTTGTTCTTCATCAGCTGCAGAAGCTGACAGAAGGCCTCACGTTTCTGCAGAAGGGGGCAGTGAGTGGGGGTAGAGGGGCTCCCTACAACCCTCTCCCACCCCCCTGCTTTGGCTCAGCCACAGCTGGCACCTTCTGGGCATGGGGATCACCCCACGGACATCACACAGCCATCAGGCACCGGTACCCAGCGCCTGTCCCTGAGCCCTACCAGGGCCCAGGGGTTAAATCCTGCCCCACCCCATCCCTACAAGGGACCCCTTGTCTCACACCCGCCCCCAGGTGAGCGTTACCCACCCGAGCACTGACAAAAACAAAGTCTTTCCGTTGCGTTTTATCCTTTTCCTTCTCAAAAACGATGCCCAGCTTGTTCTGTACCCGCTGTGACTTGATCAGCTGCCGAACTGAGGAGGAGAGGGAAGAGCTGGGAGAGTGCTGGCTGCTAGCTGGGTGCTGGAACCCCCCCAGTGCATGCTTTGGGGGACCCCCCAAGATGGGAACACCCCCAACATGAGGAATCTCCCAGCTTCCAGCTCACCACTGAGCCTCACAGGGATGCTGCCCAGCACAAAGGGTGCTGGGGCCCTCCCAGACACCTCCCCACTCACTCTTGTCATGGGTGAAGGTGTTCCAGTCCTCCTGGGAGTCCTTCTGCTTCTTCAGCACCACTAGTTTACCCCCCTCCACATCCACACTCAGTGTGTACTTCTGTGACTTCCCAATCTTGGTCAGGTCCCCCAGGGTGATATCCAGCTTCACCTGCCAGGGGACACTGGGATGAGGGAGGACACAGGGGACACCCCAGCACCCCGTCTGGCATCTGGCCTCCCCCAGAGACACCTAGGGGTGTGTGCCCTCAGTGTCACACTGGAGGTACTCAGCTGATGCCGAAATCCCCCCAAAAGGGGGCAGGGCAGGGGGTAGGGTTGGGCTCACCTCGAAGGTCTGCACTGGGATGCTCTTGGCCTTGCGGGAGAGGGGTTGAGGAGGGGTGGCTGGGGTGGCTGAGCTCATCTCCTGCAGGGCCTTCAGTGCCTGCCAGAGCCCCAGCAGGGTCAGCTGAGAGCCCACCAGTCCCCCAGCTCCAACAACCCATCCAGTCCCACCAATCTTCCAGTCCCCACCAGCCCTCACAGTCCACAAGGTCCCATCAGCCCCCTTAGCCCTACCAGTGCCAGCTCCATTGGCCCTTCCCAGTCCCACTAGTGCCTCAATCCCACAAGCCCATCCCCAGTCCCCCAGCTCCACCAGCCCAGCAAGCTCTGCCAGTTGCCCCAGTCCCACCAGTGCCCTCAGCCCCACAGTCTCTCTGGTTCACCCAGACCCCTCAGAACACCCCCATCAGGCCATCCAGCCTTGCATCTCCAGCCTTACCTTCTTCTCGATGGATGACAGGAAATCTTTCAGCACAGAGAGTTTCAGCACCAGGTTCTCCAGCTCCTGCTCTCCACTCTGCCCTGCTGTCTGGAACCCCCAGCAGGACACTCCAGCACTGGGATGTGAACCCCAGACCCACCCAAGAGCCTCCCCCACCCCAAGTGGCAGCGCCCACTGGCAGTCTGGGATGGGGTAGGATGGTTAGGTGTTTCTCCACAGTTTTTCCCACCACCTATGGATGGTACCATGTTTGGGTCTGTGGGTGCAGTTCATGGTGGAGGGCTGCCACTGCTCTGTCCCCATATTCCCTTTACCTGTTGCAGGATCTTGGAGACCATGGGGGAGCTCTGCTGGTCAAACACCTTGGAGAGGATCTCCAGCCCTGCCAGCACCTTGTCCACCTCACTGGAGAGGCAAGAGGAGCCGGCTCACCGGGTGGCACATACGTCCTTCCGTCTGTTTGTCTGTCCCAGCGTCTGGCACTCACCTGTGCAGCCGTTTGCAGGACGTGACGAGAGTCTTGTTGAGGTGGGGGAGGCTGTTGGCCCCTCCCTTCACTGCCTCCAGGTCCAGGCTGTAGCTGCCCTTCAGGTACTCATGAGAGATGCTGCTGAGCCCATTGGTGCTACAGAGAGAGCACCCAGGGGGTGAGAGCCAGCAGGGAGGAGCAGGGCACAGACAGGGGACAGACAGGGGGACAAGCAGACCCTCACCTCTCCACTGGCCTCTCTGGCACAGATGGTCCCAGGCCAGTGGGGCTGAGCCCCGCTGAGGTGCCAGAGCAACTGGTGGAGCCGGAGCGTGGCGGCAACGGCGGCTTCTCATCCTCTCCATCTGCAGTGGGGCATGAGGGGGCCAGTTACCCCCACCCCAGAGTCCCAGGACCCCCTTCACCCACCCACGTCACCCTGCCATACCCGAATAGTCCCTGTCCTCCACGGTCTCCTTCTCCTTCTCCCTCTCGACAGGGAAGAGCAGGGTGCAGACCAGCCCCTGGTTGGGCTGCAGGTACAGGGCAATCAGCTCGCTGAGCGTCTTGAAGCGCCGCACCTGCACGCCCTGTGACGTCTGTGGGGACATCGGGACACCGGCACCATCAGCACCTGCAGCCACCATCACTGCACACCCCCCAGGTGGAGACAACACCAAACAGGGAATGCCACCATCCAGGGATGCCACCATGCAGAGACAGGAATCTCCCCAGGCAGGGATACCACCATGCAGGGACCCCAGGCAGGGATAACACCATACAATGATCCCCTCGTGCGGAGGTGCCACCACACAGGGATGTTCCCATGAAGGGACCCCCATGCAGGGACCTCCATGCAGGGACCCCCATGAAGGGATCCTCCCATGCTGAGATGCCAATGTGCAGGGATGTTCCCATGAAGGGACCCCCATGCAGGGACCCCCATGAAGGGATCCTCCCATGCTGAGATGCCAATGTGCAGGGATGTTCCCATGAAGGGACCCCCATGCAGGGACCCCCATGAAGGGATCCTTCCATGCAGAGATGTCACTGTGCAGGAACCCCCCCCCCCATGCAGGGACCCCCATGCAGGATGAGGGGCTGACCCCACAGCCCCACGGTGGGGACCAGGGCCCGTTGCAATGAGGCCTGCAGGGCGGGTAGCTGGGCACACAGGGTGCAGGCAGCAGCCGTCCCTCAGCCTCCTCCCTCCCAGAGGCAGCTTTTCCTGCCAGCCTGGCCAGCACAAAGAGGGTTCTGTTGCTCTAAAAATACCCAGTGCCACAGCCGGCCAAGACAGGCACAGCCAAGCCATCCGGCACAGCCGGGCAGGCGCGTGGCACGGCGCCAGGGCTGAGCCCAGCACAGCCACAGGGACAGGTAAAGCCAGACCACGAGGCCAGCACTGAGCACTGCTGAGCCAGAGAGCCCCAGTGCCCACGAGCCAGGGGTGTCCCATGCCCGCGCTGCCCACCTGCACGGCCAGGAAATCCTCCTCGTCCGGCAGGATGCGGTAGGTGTGCACGTGTTTCTGGAACCTGTGGCAGCAGGGAGGGCATCAGGGGGTGCTGGGGGGTGGCTGGTGTCCCCCCACCTACCTGCACAGCCCCTGCCAGCCCCAAAGGGATGCCCTGTACTCATCTAGTCAGACCCAACTTCACCAGCAGCGACAGCGAGGAGCTCCAATACCACCATTCCCCATGGAATGCAGTGAACTGACAGGGAACCCGTGGAAAAGCCACGGGAAAATGCCTGCAGGGTGGGTGCTGGGAGCCCGAGAGTGACTCCCCTGCGTGCTCCGACCCCACAATTGACAGCACTATGTCCTTGGCAGTGCTGCTGCCCTGCTGCACTGCCTGTCTGTGCCAGAGGCACTGTCCCCAGCCCACGGCACAGGCAGGAGCTGGCAGGAGCAGGCAGGAGCTGGCAGCCAGGACACCAGGAAACAATTTATTTTCCTGTGGAAGCTGACAGGAACCAAGGACACGATCCCAGGGCAGGGGGTGATGGGCAGTGCTAAGAGATGGGGTGAAAACATCAGTGAGTGCAAGGAGCAGGACTGGAAGCTCTCCCCATTTCAGGGACTCCAGGAGACAGGGAGCCTCAGCACTGCCAGACCTCCCCACTCCAGGGCTGTCCGCAGGGACCGGGACTCCTGGCTGGCCTCTGGCCACAGAGGTCACCGTGAGCACTGAGGCTGCTGTCACCACACTGGGGCCACTCAGCTGCTGTGTCCCCTGCCCCAGTGGCAGCTCAATGCAGGGCTGGAGGACTGGGACAAGGCAGCATCCATCCCCCCATGCTGTGCTGTGTCCCTGGACACCCTGGGGACACCCCGGACAGGGTGCCGTGCTCCCATGTCCTATCCCCCTCTGTCAGGTCCCGTGGTGTCACCCTACAGTTCTGCCGTGCCAGCACCCCACAGCACCAGGTTCCCTGGTGCCACCATGTCCCCTGCAGTGCCAGGTACCCCATTTCTCCTGCCTCCTCTGGAGGTACGACCTGCCCCAGCATCGTTGGGGTCCTGCCAAGTGTCCCAGTGCCCAGTCAGGGTCATTGTGATGGTGGGGCCATGGAGAACTCTCCAAGTGGTAGGGGGGGCTGAATGGGACTCCACTATGGGGGGGCTGTATGGAAAACCCTGCTAGGGTGGGGGAAGGGACCAGGGCTTTCCAGACTCCAATGAGTCTGTGGGAGAATCCCAGCTGGTAGGATGGGGGGGCACAAAAAGACACCCCCAAACGAGGGCAGCATAAGGGGTCTCTGTGGGAAGTCCTAACTCACAATTGGGGTCTCCACAGCAGGAACACCACTGGAGGTGTGATGTGAGTGCAAGAAGAGCCCCAGCACAGCACCAGTATGTGGAACTTCAGATTGGAGGGGCAAGGACCCTCAGGAGGAACCTCAGCTGTGGGGGACACCAAGGGGTTCTCTGTGGATAACTGGCAGGGGCTGGAGGGACACCCGGCACAGGGGGTGGTGCTGTGGAGAGGGCCTGCAGGGCCCCCTGGCTGCCCAGCCCCGCACTGCTGTCTGTCTGTCTGTCGCTGGTATTTTGGTGAGCAGCGACGGGGAGGGGGGGCCAGAGAGCACCGGGCTGGCTACAAAGAGCCTTTATGCGGGAGCTGCGGGACTCCCCTGTCGCTCTGACGCACAGCACCCTGCCAGCACAGCGGGCACCCCACATCCCCGCTGCTCTGTGGCACACAGAGGGGCACCTACCACCCTGCTTCACCAAGAGCAGGATGTGGGCACCCTGGCAAGGGGGATACCGTGCGCCCACTGGCACCACCCTGGCACTGGTGTCCCCCATGAACTGGCAGTGAGCCAGGATGGAAGCTCCAAGCCCCCACGCTCCTGTGGGACACCACACCAGGACTGTCCCCACTAGCACTGCTCACCAACCAGCGATGTCAGCACACCTTGGGGTGCCACTGCTGTGTGCTACCACTTCCCAATATGCAACAGCGAGGCCACAAGTGTGACACCCTGGTGTGCCACGGTGGGACACCCCAGTGTGCCATGGCGAGGGCACAGTGAGATGTCCTGGTGTGCCACATCCAGCCCGGTGAGTCCATGGCACACCAGTGGGAGGGTTAAAGGAAGCCGATGCTGCCGGGATCCCGCTGCAGTTCCCTTTCCTCCTCCTGATTCTGCAGCTATTTTTAGGCCAATGGCTCCACAGCCCTGTCCACCCACTCACAGGCAGTGGGGGTGCCTGATGAGATCACAGCACCAGGGACTCCCAGTAGCCCTTGTTGGAGTGCAGCCTCCCAAACTGGCATCCCCATGATGGGCTTTGCCATGCCAGTGCCACAGGCCAGCCACGTGGCACCCATGGCCCCCTCACCAAGCAGTGAGAGACACCCATGACAGACCACCTTACCCAGGCGCCCGTGCCACAATGCTGTCTGCAGCCCCCTGTCACCCACACCACACAATGCCCTCTCTCCAGCCACATGGCACCATTAGGTGCTGGAATTGCAGGCTCTCCCAGTACTGTGCCCAGTGCTACTTGCCAGCCCAGCTCTGTGGTGGGGAGCCAGTGCCCAGAGCCACACTGTGTTTCCCACATGCCTGGGAAACTGCATTTGCCACTGTCCACGGGGCAGGACAACCACACCACCATGGAGGCTGCATGCCTGGCAATGCACGTGGCACCAGCACCCAGCAACCCCAGGCCAGGGCAGGCCAGCTCACAGAGCACTCCCAACTCTCCCACAGGCTCTCAGGGCACAGAAAAGCTTTGAGTTCAAGTGCCCTCACCACCACCCCACAACCACATCAAGGTCCAGGTGCTGGCACAGGTAGCCAGCCTTGAGCAGAGCCAGTGGCATGCCCCAGGAGCATCCAGCACAACGAGGTGCCAGAGACCCCAGGTATGGTGGGGTGCTGGGGTGTACCACTGGGCAAAGGCACTTCAGGACCCCCAGGGGTGTCAGCCCTCACCTGTGACCTGGCACAAGCTGGGAGCCATGGAGTTCCATGGCACTATTCAAGCTGTCCCCCCTTCCCAGGCTGGGGACCCCCAGACATGAGGGCAGGAGCTGGGGGACCTCCAGTGGCATGGGTAGGCTCAGGGACCCCAAAAGTGTGCGGCAGGTGCTAGGCCCCCATCTCATAGACCCCCATGGTAATAGGGGTGGGTGACACAGCCCCCCTGGAGCCAGCCCAATATCCCCCCACTGCCTAGAGACTCCCAGGTCTCCTGGGACACCCAGGCCACAGCAGGTGCCATTCCCCTGGTGCCGTGCGTCCCAGAAGTGCCGGTGTCCCTCTGAAAACCCACGTCCCCCCGTGTCCGTGCCCCCCCAGCACCCACTGACCGGAGCTCTCTCAGCCTCCCTGTGCCCAAATTCCGAGTAACCCGCGCAGTACTGGTAACCCCCGTGTTCACTGTATCCCTCTCTGTCTGTTGCCCTCTTAGTGTTCCCCCATCCCCACCAACGCTCCCTGCGTGCTCCCCTGGATCCTTCCAGTGATCCCCCTGCCTGTTCTTCCTTGGCGCCCCCTCCCCCTGCCGGTGCCTCTCCCACTGTTCTTCCCGGTGCTGTGCCAGTGCTTCCTTGGACACCCGCCCTGCGTAGCACGGTGCTCCCCCGGATCCCTGCAGTGACCCCACCATGACGCCCCAGCGCTCTCCCCGATGCCTCTGGCGCTCCCCCAGATCCTCTCCTCTGCTGGCCCAGGAGCCACCCCCGGCTGCCCTCCCGACCCCCTGCTCTCCCCGGACCATCCCCGAGGCCCCTCTGGTGCCGCCCTAAACACTTCCACTCCTACGCCCGACTCTGCCCCGGTACCCCCGCCCCGTTTCTCCCGGGATCCCCCCAAAGCTCTCGCCGGTGCCCCCTCAAGCTCCCCGCTGCAGCTCTGCCATGGTCGCCCCCGGTCCTCCCCCCGACTCCCTGCCCGTGCCTCCGCAGCTCCCCCGGCCCCGCGCCGGTCCCCTCCCGGTGCACCCCCTCCAGGAACCCCCGATGGCCGCTCCCGGGTGTCCCCCCACGCCCCGCCGGCACCGCGGGGGTGTCGCCCCGGCAGCCCCCCGCCTGTACCCCACTCACAGCAGGCAGAGCGCGTAGGCCCCCGCCACGCTTTCGCTGTCCCGCACCAGGAAGCTGCCGTCCCGCCCGGCCCGCGCCAGCTGCTCCTCGGCCGCCGCCCGGCTCAGGTCCCGGTGGTACCAGGGGGGCACCGGCACCGGGGCCGCTCCTCCCGCGCCCCCCGCGCCCGCCATGCTCCGCCGCCGGGGCCGCGCTGCGGGGCCGCGCTCTGAGGGGGAGGGGGAGCCGAGGGGCGGGCAGCGGGGCGGGGAAAGGTGGGGGACGGGGACATCCCGGGGACAGGCAGGGGCTTCGGGGGCTGGGGGCGCCGAGGGCCCCAGGGGGGCACCGATGAGGTACCCGGGGGCCCACGGGAGAGATCCGGGGGTGGCCACCGTGAGAGGAGGTCGCGGGAGGGGACCCGCGGGGATCCTGGGGGAGCAGCAGGGGGAGCTCGGGGGAGCACCGGGGGGGCACTGGTGGGGTCCTGGGGGCGCACCCCAGAGGCACCGGGGCAGATCAGGGGCCGTGAGCAGGATGTTCAGGGGGGCATCTGGGGGTCTGACCGAGGGGCAGCGGCACCGAGGGGCGGAGAGCAGCGGGTAGCGGCAGCAGCAGTGGGGAGCACCGGGAGGATGAAGAGCACCGGGGCGGGGAGCACCTGGGAGGGGGAAGCACCAGGGGAGCACCCGGAGCATACCGTAGGGAAGAGCGAGGGTACGGTGGTGTGAAGGAACCACAAGTGTGAAGGTACCGGGGAGCCGGGCATTGGGGAAAGGGGGGCCGCGGTGGAGCAGGGCTGGGGACTGGGGCTGAAGAAGTGGGAGGCGAGACCCGGTTTGGCCACCAAAACCGGGGACTTCTTCATGAGCCAGGGATCGGGAAGGTGCCACCCTGCAGCTGGGAACACGGAGCATGTTGGGGGGAAAGGGACAACTAGGGTGGGCTCCAGGCCGGCGGAACTCCCTTGACAACCATGCTCCCACCTCAGGGTCCCCGGGATATCCTCCCCTTTTTGCCCATAATTTTCCCAGTCTCATCCTGTGCACCCCAGCGTGTCAGTGACGCCCGGGGCCCTGGATCCGTGTCAGGTGCTAGGACACATTCAGCGATCCCATCCTCCTGGGCCCCAGTGGCAGGCAGCCGTGTGCCTGTACAGTGGTTTGGGGGAGGCAGTGCTGGGTAGCCAAGTTGGTCGGTACAAGTGAATAGGAGTGATGTCTGCCTCATCTCCCCACCAGAAGCAGGATGGGATAAGCAGACACCCTCAGGTCTCTCAACCATCCTATTGACCCCCACAACCATCACACAACACCCAAGACCAAGCAGGGCAGCAGCATTTATTCATGGGCCACATGCCTCGGGGTGGGGGGACACAGCTTGGGGACACCCCATGGGGAGGCACAAGGCAGCCTGGGGACTCCCCTGACAATCTACTGCCCGCTCCTGCCTGCAGCTCCTCCTGCTCAGAGCAGGGCCAGCAGGGTGAGGGGCAGCAGGGACAGCAGGATAGAGGGCAGGGAGTTTGGGGGAGCATTGCCATGGGCGTAATATTGGGCGACAGCAACATTGGGGTTCCCCTGCGCGGGGTCAAACCACATCTGGATGCAGCGGCCGCTGCCACGGTGGTGGGACGTGTAGCGGTAGGAGCCAGACCAGACCTGCTCGCAGAGCGCAGCCGCCGTGGGGAACACAAACTTGAACTTCTGGCACATGGCGCCCTTGGGACACTGGTTGGTGCCTAGGGGTGGGCAGGGGGTGAAGTGGGCGAAGGGCTTTGGGAAATGGGTGTTGTTCCCCTGTGCATGGGGTGCACATGGACCCCACTGGCATTGCTGGGGAAGAGAGAGCTGACCTCAAGGCGGCACAGGGTCTCACATTGCATTACCCCATGAGGACCCTCACACCCCCTGACCCACTCACATGCACAGGGGATCCCACCTGGCTGCCACTCCCACCCCGTGGGGACCCTCACACCCCCAGACCCACTCACAGCCACCAAGGAGGGTGGACACAAGCTCCCCTGCAGCAAGATGGAGGGTGAGTGGAGACCCACAGCGGGGTCGAGGCATGATGCGGGGTGCCCTGCAACCCCCACTCACCTGTAGTCCAGTTCCAGCCCTTGTGCCAGTTGACCTTGCAGGTGACAGCATCCTGGCAATCCTCCCACCACTGCTCACAGTCCTCCTGACACAGTGGCACATCCCGGATCCGCTCCTTCCGCCAGCTGGTGTCTGCCTGCAGGGCCCCCAGTTTCCCCCAGTTCACCCCAGGGATCCTGGTGGGTGGGTGAGGGCAAGATCTGCACCTACCTGGTCGATCCATGGCCCCAGGTTAGGGGAACATTCATAGAGACACGTGTCCTGGATGAAGTGGCGCTTGCACTTCTCTGGCATGGCCCCACAGTGGTCCCAGTTGAAGTTGTACAGGTAGGACTGGTCCTGGTGAGCTTCCAGACTGGTGTTGGCAGTGCAGCAGGCATTGTCCTTCCAGAGGACACACTGCACCGGGGCAGCCGGGGCTCAGCTGGGACCCATCAGGAGCCACCAGGGCTCAGCTGGGACCTGCTGCAGGTCCAGGGAAAGCACCAGTGCCCGTGGGTGGGTGACACTGGGTGCTGGAATTCATGTTGGGGCACAGAGCCCCCCAGCCTCCATCCTGGTGACCCCACAGCAAGTGACACCAGTGGGTGCTGGTGCAGTGCATGAGGACCGTACCTGCCCATAGAGCTGCCCCTCAGGGCCAGGCTCTGTTTTGTGGTGCTTGGCATCCATGCAGACATTCAGCAGCGAGTCCCGTGTCACCGTCACTGCTGCAGTGGCAGCTGGCCAGGCCACCAGCAGAGCCAACACCGCTGCCATTGCTCTGCCAGGGCGGCAGCAGGTCAGGACAGCAGCACTGAGAGACACGGTGACAGCAGGGACAAAGTCCCCCACCGTGCTTGTGGAAAAGCGGCAGCACATGGTCACTGCCCACAACCACCGACAGTGGGGTCTGGGATCTTACCTGGGGGTGCCAGGGCTCTTACCTGGGGGGCAGCTGGGCTCCAGATGCCGTGGGACGAGCACAGCTCATCTCAAAGGTCGTGGTGCAGAACAACCCGTGGCCACTGATCACGGGATGTGGGAATGCAGCGGATTGGGCAGCACTGAGGAGACAGTGCACCCCGCCCTGGCTCCCCACTGTGCCCTGGACTGACACTCGTGCCCATCCTGGCCCCTCATCAGCCCCACATGCAGCTGGGATTCATCCTCCTGGCGCCGGGCTGGGGCCAGCACCAGCCAAAATCCACTTATGGCTGTTTTTCCTTCCCTCCTGTGGGAGGTGGCCTGACTCCCTGACACCAGCACAAGGGGAGGACCTGGGCCCCCAACACCACAGGGTCCCTCTGAGTGACTGGGGGGGAACAGCACAGTGGGTAAGAGATGTTGCTGGCAGGGACAGGTACCCTGGCAGGGTCACATTTGGCCGCAGGGTAGAGGTAAATACCCCTCATTGAATTCCAGGTACTCAGGGGATCACAGATGTCCCATGGAGGGGGAGCAGATACCCGGGGTAGACCAGTCACTGTGGCTCGGGAGGGACAGAAACGCTGCAGAGTGAGACATGCCGGCTGGGGGAGGACTAGGAGGGAAGATATCCTGTAAGGGACAGATACTTCCAAGGTCACACGTAATGTGGGGGCCAGACGTGCCCCGGGGATCACAGATGCCCTGAGGAGGGGGGAAGATACCCTCCTCAGAGATGAGAGATACCCCCCTCACAGGTGACAGATACCCCCAGCCATGGATGACAGCTGCCCCCACAGGAGCAGATACCCCACCAGCATCACAGATACCTCCTCACTGGGGTCACTGGTCCCTGTGGGGCTCATATACCCACCATTAGTCACAAATATCCCACGGAGGGTACAGATACTCCGTGGGGATCACAAATACGCCCTGACGGGGGTCACAAATAACTCGGGGCTGCTCACCTATGCCCGGGCCAGCACAACGGCCCCACACTCACAGGGGCCCAGACCACGGCCTGTCAATCAAGCTGCGCCCCGCCCCCAGACGGCGCCATAGGCCACGCCCCCTCACCCCCCCTTGTGTGCCTGCACGCCCTCTGCGCATGTTCCATGCGCTGTAACTGGTTCCGGGTCGGCCTCCGCTTCCGGCAGGGCGGCTGGCGCCGGCCTGGCGCTGCTCCCGGTGCCCCACCATGTCCACGCTGTTTCCCTCACTCCTGCCCCGCCTCACCGAGTCCCTCTGGTTCAACCTCGACCGGCCGTGCGTTGACGAGACCGAGCTGCAGCAGCAGGAACAGCAGCACCAGGCCTGGGTGGGCACCGGGGCGGGGGGAGCCGTGAGGCGGCGGGGCCGGGTGTCAGAACCGGGAACGGGTTCGGGGCCGCCCCGGCCCCTGCTCCTGCAGCGGGCACGGCCGCGGTGCTCGCTGCAGCCCGGGTGTCCCGTGACACGGGGCTCCTCCGCTGCGTGGCTCTCCCCGGCTGTGCCCGTGTTTCAGCGTCCTGTGCCGGTGCTGCCGGCTCGGGCACCGCTGCTCTCGTATCCGTCACCCGTATGTCACACCGGCTCCGTGCGGGCTCTTACCGGGGCTCCCCGGTTACCGTGTGGGAGTTAATGAATAAGGTGCTGCTGAACCGAGGTTCCTGCACTAGCTCCCAATTAATTAATTAACTAATTTCCCGAGGGAGGCGAGGAGCGATTTCTGATCCTGGTAACTGACAACTGTTTGTGCTGTGAGCGTGGTTTGGTGCTGCAGTGCCCCTGAGTATGGGGGGGAAGAACATCTGTTTGATTAAAGTTTTTAAAAAATATCAGTAATTAAGTTTTTATAATTAAACAATAAAGTTTAAATCAATTAAAACCCCAGCATGTAAAAGAGGTTCCAAGTCCCTCTGGGTGGGAGGTGCTGAAGTAATTTAATTGAGCTTTAATTATCTGCTGTGGTTGTGTTTGTCTGGCTGATCAGATGTCCCATATTTGGTTATTTTTTGATAAAGAAATACATAAGCTTTGTGTTTGGGCTTCTGAAGGCACACATGGGGACACCTCAACCCCTCTGAGCACCAGAGTGTCACTGAGATCCCCCTGCTTGGTGCCAGGGTGTTGAGGCAGGGTGTTAAAGCTGCTCTTCCCTGCTTGGCTGGGGGATGCCAGGGAGGCAGCAGGACTCTGGGCACGGTCAGTCAGCCACACAAGCCAGCAGCTGAGCCAGGAGGGCCTGTTTGCTGGGCTGTCATGGAGCTGTTGGAGTGCTCACCCCCTCTCTCCCTTCCCCAGCTCCAGAGCATTGCTGAGAAGGACAACAACTTGGTGCCCATAGGAAAGCCAGCGTCCGAGGTGGGTGTGTGCCCAGGGAAGGGGGGGTGCCATAGGGCTTGAGGGGCAGATGGGGTTGCTGGAGCTGTTGTGTCCACAGCACTATGATGAGGAGGAGGAGGAGGACGATGAAGATGATGAAGACAGCGAAGAGGACTCAGAAGATGATGAGGACATGCAGGATATGGATGAGATGAATGATTATAATGAGTCTCCTGATGATGGGGAGATCAATGAGGTAAATAGTGTGAGACCCCAGAGCAGGGGATGTGAAGTGTGTGGGACCCTGAGCATGAGCTCCAGGGGCTGTCTTGTCTCCTTCACACCCTCTATTTTTTCTAATTAAGTTCTTGCTCTGGGGGACATCTCAAACCTCTTTCTTTCCCAGGTGGACATGGAGGGGACAGAGCAGGATCAGGACCAGTGGATGATCTGATTCTGCCACAACCACACCAGACCAGAGGCTGGGGGAGAGCCTTTGCCCCCACGGCTCTGGGGGACAGTTCAGTCAAGCTCCTCCTGCCACGGCTGCTGTGTGGGGCGGGAGATTCGGAGCAAAGCTCTCCAGGGGAGGGGACACTGCCACCTGGCATATTGGAACTCACACATCTTTTCTAATAAACTCAGTTTTCAAGAAAACAACCCCAAATCTGGTGTCTGAGGCCACCAGGGCAGGCAGGGGGTAGGGCTGCTCCCCACCATGCACTGGTGTGCCTGGCACAGCTCCCTGTGCCACGCAGGCAGGAGCTCTACGGGGAATGAGCCCCTCCCTCGTTACCCACCGCCCCCAGCACAGACCACAGCAGCCAGCGCGTTTCCTGCAGAGCCCTTGTTGAAGCCCAGGCCGGGTTGGGGACCTGGCACTGCCACGGTGGCCGTGGCACCACGGGGCAGGAGGTGCCCGCTCAGTGGGTGCCGGTGTAGCGGAGCTCGGCGATCCCGTCGGGAATGGCGCGGAAGTACTCCAGGCTGGCGCGGTGCACCTTGCAGTGGTATTTGCCGCAGGTCTTGGCATACTGCAGGAAGTGGGGTGCCCCGGGGAAGAGGACGTTATCAGCCAGGATGGTGGCCCCCTCAGCCAGCAGCTGGTGGCTCTCCAGCAGCCGTAGATCCCGCAGGTAGCTGCGCTTCCAGTGATCCATGAAGACGAAGTTGGCGTTCACCAGGCCGTGCTTCTCCCGCAGGCGGGGTATCACCTCCTCCGAGGGGCCCACGATCAGCTCCACCTGTGCTGCACCCCCTCGGTCACTGGGGCAGGGTGGCACGGTGCCCACCCACGCCCCTGCTTCACAGGGTGGTGAGAGATGCACATGGAGCAGGATCAGGGTGCCCACCCACGCCCCTGCTTCACATGGAGCAGGATCTTTCTCTTCCCACGTGCACTACCCAGCAGGTGCCTCAGTCCCTGCAGCAAAGGATCCCACCCCATCTCCTCCCTGGTTTCCCATGCAAAGCTGGGCTTTGTCCCAGTGCCAGTGCTCACCGTCTCCTCGCTGAAGCCGGCCAGGCGGATCACCTTCTCGGCCACGGCCGCGTGTCGGGGGTCGCCCTCGATGGTGTAGAGGCGGGCGCCTGGGGGCAGCCCCTGTGCCAGCAGCACGGTGCCATAGCCACAGTACGTGCCCAGCTCCAGCACCCGCAGCGGGGCCCGCTCCAGCAGCACCCGCTCCACGATCCGCCCTGGCGTGGCACGTGCCTCTCAGCACCACTCCGTGCCACCCCAGCCCTGGGCAGGGCAAGGGTGCCAAGCAGTTCCCAAGGCCCAGAGGCATGGAGGAGAGCCATGCCAAAAGTGCCACAGCCAGGTCAGTGATGCCACAGCCATACCAACAGTGCCATGGCTCACTGGTGCCACAATCATGCCAACAATACTACGGCTATATCAACAGTGCCACTGCCATGCTAATAGTGCTGTGATCAGTCCAACACTATCACAGCCATGCCAGTGGTGTCACAGCCATGTCAGTGGTGCCATGGCCATGCCCAGTGCCATGCCCTGTGTGGTGTGGACAAGCAAGGGTGGCACTCACCTTTGTCGGGCCCCACGCAGCTGAGGTGCTCACAGTGGTAGCACCACTGATCAAAGGTCTGGAGGATGTGGTGGGGGTCCCCAGGGATGGCGTGGGCCAGCACGTACTGGAAGGCGCGCTGCTCCCGCGAGGTGCCGGTGAACCGGTCCCGCAGCCAGGCCACCAGCACTGCCCGGTACAGCAGCACCAGGTAGTGCCGGTACCGGATCAGCAGGGTCACAATGAAGGGGAGGAAAGCCAGGGCAATCGCTGGAGACACCATCACAAGCGAGCGAGGCTGTGCTTTTTGTTAGTTGACTTTGTTAGTTTCGTACCTTTCTTGGGAATTCTGCCAAATGGGAAGTTTTGCACCCTTTGTGTCCACTATCAGTGGCATAACCTTGGGCCCAGGCTTTGAAAGTCTCCCCTGTGCAGAGATCATTGAAGCATTGTGAGCCCTTAAGTCATAACAAGGCAAATCTATCCTGTCATGGGATGCTGTGGTAGGGTATCCTTCCAGGGAACCTCACAGCTCCCACTCATGCCAGGAGTTGGCTGTGCTGTGCTGTGCTGTGCACCCCCTGGAACTGCCCCTCTCCCTGGGCTCCAGTGCTGCTGGGCCTGTAGGGCTGGGGCACCCCAGGATGCTGTGGAGATCCCTGTGCCAGGGCTGGGGAGTGCTGGGGACCCACCTGCCAGGGTCCAGATATTGGGTTTGGCTGGGCTGGCATCCCAGGGGACGGTGCTGCTGTGAGGGGCCTTGTTCAGCACAACCCTTTGCACCCCCCTTGGTCCAGCTTTGCTGCTTCCATCCCCCATATTCTGTACCTCACCCCCTGCTCCCCACACCCTGCTCCCCACACCAGTAGTGGGACTCCAGCCATGATACTGGTGCCCCAGGCCCCAGTATCAGCACCCCAGCTCCAGTATCTGTACCCCAGCCCCAGGCCCCCCTTGTGCAGCCCAGGACCACCTCCCCGCCCCAGCCTGGCCCCGTCTCAGTTGCCAGCCCCACTCAGCTGGTAACCGGAGCTCTGATAGCAGCTGCAGCTGTGATGACACCATCAATAATTGAGTGGCAGCAGGGCTCCACACAGGACTGCCTGCCTCTGCCTGCCTGGAGTGTGGGGACAGGTAGGTGCCACCCCCATTGCGCTACCCTGTTCCTGTGGCTGGGCACCCCCAAAAGCTCAGGGTGTGGGGAGCAGGGTGTGGGGAGCAGGGGGTGAGGTACAGAATATGGGGGATGGAAGCAGCAAAGCTGGACCAAGGGGGGTGCAAAGGGTTGTGCTGAACAAGGCCCCTCACAGCAGCACCGTCCCCTGGGATGCCAGCCCAGCCAAACCCAATATCTGGACCCTGGCAGGTGGGTCCCCAGCACTCCCCAGCCCTGGCACAGGGATCTCCACAGCATCCTGGGGTGCCCCAGCCCTACAGGCCCAGCAGCACTGGAGCCCAGGGAGAGGGGCAGTTCCAGGGGGTGCACAGCACAGCACAGCCAACTCCTGGCATGAGTGGGAGCTGTGAGGTTCCCTGGAAGGATACCCTACCACAGCATCCCATGACAGGATAGATTTGCCTTGTTATGACTTAAGGGCTCACAATGCTTCAATGATCTCTGCACAGGGGAGACTTTCAAAGCCTGGGCCCAAGGTTATGCCACTGATAGTGGACACAAAGGGTGCAAAACTTCCCATTTGGCAGAATTCCCAAGAAAGGTACGAAACTAACAAAGTCAACTAACAAAAAGCACAGCCTCGCTCGCTTGTGATGGTGTCTCCAGCGATTGCCCTGGCTTTCCTCCCCTTCATTGTGACCCTGCTGATCCGGTACCGGCACTACCTGGTGCTGCTGTACCGGGCAGTGCTGGTGGCCTGGCTGCGGGACCGGTTCACCGGCACCTCGCGGGAGCAGCGCGCCTTCCAGTACGTGCTGGCCCACGCCATCCCTGGGGACCCCCACCACATCCTCCAGACCTTTGATCAGTGGTGCTACCACTGTGAGCACCTCAGCTGCGTGGGGCCCGACAAAGGTGAGTGCCACCCTTGCTTGTCCACACCACACAGGGCATGGCACTGGGCATGGCCATGGCACCACTGACATGGCTGTGACACCACTGGCATGGCTGTGATAGTGTTGGACTGATCACAGCACTATTAGCATGGCAGTGGCACTGTTGATATAGCCGTAGTATTGTTGGCATGATTGTGGCACCAGTGAGCCATGGCACTGTTGGTATGGCTGTGGCATCACTGACCTGGCTGTGGCACTTTTGGCATGGCTCTCCTCCATGCCTCTGGGCCTTGGGAACTGCTTGGCACCCTTGCCCTGCCCAGGGCTGGGGTGGCACGGAGTGGTGCTGAGAGGCACGTGCCACGCCAGGGCGGATCGTGGAGCGGGTGCTGCTGGAGCGGGCCCCGCTGCGGGTGCTGGAGCTGGGCACGTACTGTGGCTATGGCACCGTGCTGCTGGCACAGGGGCTGCCCCCAGGCGCCCGCCTCTACACCATCGAGGGCGACCCCCGACACGCGGCCGTGGCCGAGAAGGTGATCCGCCTGGCCGGCTTCAGCGAGGAGACGGTGAGCACTGGCACTGGGACAAAGCCCAGCTTTGCATGGGAAACCAGGGAGGAGATGGGGTGGGATCCTTTGCTGCAGGGACTGAGGCACCTGCTGGGTAGTGCACGTGGGAAGAGAAAGATCCTGCTCCATGTGAAGCAGGGGCGTGGGTGGGCACCCTGATCCTGCTCCATGTGCATCTCTCACCACCCTGTGAAGCAGGGGCGTGGGTGGGCACCGTGCCACCCTGCCCCAGTGACCGAGGGGGTGCAGCACAGGTGGAGCTGATCGTGGGCCCCTCGGAGGAGGTGATACCCCGCCTGCGGGAGAAGCACGGCCTGGTGAACGCCAACTTCGTCTTCATGGATCACTGGAAGCGCAGCTACCTGCGGGATCTACGGCTGCTGGAGAGCCACCAGCTGCTGGCTGAGGGGGCCACCATCCTGGCTGATAACGTCCTCTTCCCCGGGGCACCCCACTTCCTGCAGTACGCCAAGACCTGCGGCAAATACCACTGCAAGGTGCACCGCGCCAGCCTGGAGTACTTCCGCGCCATTCCCGACGGGATCGCCGAGCTCCGCTACACCGGCACCCACTGAGCGGGCACCTCCTGCCCCGTGGTGCCACGGCCACCGTGGCAGTGCCAGGTCCCCAACCCGGCCTGGGCTTCAACAAGGGCTCTGCAGGAAACGCGCTGGCTGCTGTGGTCTGTGCTGGGGGCGGTGGGTAACGAGGGAGGGGCTCATTCCCCGTAGAGCTCCTGCCTGCGTGGCACAGGGAGCTGTGCCAGGCACACCAGTGCATGGTGGGGAGCAGCCCTACCCCCTGCCTGCCCTGGTGGCCTCAGACACCAGATTTGGGGTTGTTTTCTTGAAAACTGAGTTTATTAGAAAAGATGTGTGAGTTCCAATATGCCAGGTGGCAGTGTCCCCTCCCCTGGAGAGCTTTGCTCCGAATCTCCTGCCCCACACAGCAGCCGTGGCAGGAGGAGCTTGACTGAACTGTCCCCCAGAGCCGTGGGGGCAAAGGCTCTCCCCCAGCCTCTGGTCTGGTGTGGTTGTGGCAGAATCAGATCATCCACTGGTCCTGATCCTGCTCTGTCCCCTCCATGTCCACCTGGGAAAGAAAGAGGTTTGAGATGTCCCCCAGAGCAAGAACTTAATTAGAAAAAATAGAGGGTGTGAAGGAGACAAGACAGCCCCTGGAGCTCATGCTCAGGGTCCCACACACTTCACATCCCCTGCTCTGGGGTCTCACACTATTTACCTCATTGATCTCCCCATCATCAGGAGACTCATTATAATCATTCATCTCATCCATATCCTGCATGTCCTCATCATCTTCTGAGTCCTCTTCGCTGTCTTCATCATCTTCATCGTCCTCCTCCTCCTCCTCATCATAGTGCTGTGGACACAACAGCTCCAGCAACCCCATCTGCCCCTCAAGCCCTATGGCACCCCCCCTTCCCTGGGCACACACCCACCTCGGACGCTGGCTTTCCTATGGGCACCAAGTTGTTGTCTTTCTCAGCAATGCTCTGGAGCTGGGGAAGGGAGAGAGGGGGTGAGCACTCCAACAGCTCCATGACAGCCCAGCAAACAGGCCCTCCTGGCTCAGCTGCTGGCTTGTGTGGCTGACTGACCGTGCCCAGAGTCCTGCTGCCTCCCTGGCATCCCCCAGCCAAGCAGGGAACAGCAGTACTACACTGGTGTGTAGTACTAGGAGCTGTGGTCGTGATACTGGAGCTGGACTCCTGTCACTGTGCACTGGGAATACTGGGTACTGGAAGCACTGGGAAACAGGAGAATGGGGAGCCAGAAGCACCTGGGAGCCCTAATCAGTGGACACTGGGGACACTGTGGGCCCAGGGAGCATGCGGGCATTGGGAGCACTGGGGGTCTGGAGGGCTGGGGCACTGGGATCTGTTGTGGTTTAGGAATGGTACTCCCCTGTTCAGTGCCCCCACTGAGACCCTCCAAACCATGCCCATTCTCTTGCTCCCGTGCTTTCCTTTCTCCCTTCCCACAGGGGCAGGATGGAGAGGAGGCACAAAAGGTAAAGGTTGAGATAAGAATAATTTACTGGCTATAAGAAAATCAACAGCAACAGCAACAATATTAATGACAAAGGGAACAAGAAAAGATTCACATGGAAGACCCCTTTCCAACCAACAGACAATACCAGAAGCTCCCTCTGCCAATTGACTTGACAGTAAGCTGGTTTATGACAATGGCTCTGTACAAACTTGTGCCACAAGGACTGTGTACACCAGACATATGGGCCTAAAGGGGACTTTGTTATTTGAATCCCTGTAGTAGACTCAACCTCCAGCACCCCTAATTCTCTCCAAGATACTGGGTACCTTGCTCCATGGTTCCACATGCCTCCATGCACTACTTGATCATCCTTGGGACAGTGCCTTTCCCTCACACTTGGCAGGAGTTGCCTGCAGAGCCTGAGAGTTTTTGTGCTCTTCCCGATGCCCTTGTCAATGTTCACATCTCAGGACAAGGATCCCAGCTGCTTGGCTTCACTACCATCCCCTTCCATATGGGCCAGGATATCCCAGCACTGCAGTAGCCAGGTCACCAGGGGCTCACCTAACTGGTGGCTGGGCCTTCTCACACATCTTACAGCTCACCTGGGGACATGGACCAGGTGATTTTCTCTGGCCCTGCCTCCTGCCCCTGTTCTGAGGGCCCTGCTCTGCCATCCCTCACTAACTGAGCTGGTTTTCTCTTGGGTTCCTTGTTCCCTGCAGGGGTGGCTGCTCCCAGCACGGGCTGTTCCCTGGCTCAGCTGCAGCTGCCGTGGCCATGGTGCTGTTGCTGTTTCCTCCTCCTCCTCCTCCTCCCCTGAGGGTGCTCTCCACTGACCACTGGTGTGCAATGAAGAGTAGCCAGGGCCCAGCACACTGCAGTAAGCTGCTCATCTCTGCAGCTGACACAGCATCTCCTTGCAAACATTCTGTCACTTTATCAGAGGCTGCAGTTGTTCAGGGGTGAACTCCCAACCCACCGGAGCAGAGAATGTCTCAAAAAATTGGCCAATTTTCTGGCACATTCCCTGCCACTCATGACTATTCCCCTTCAGGACAGGTCCCTGAATGGCCTTCTTGGAAATCTCTGTTCTGCCTTCGAAGGTGACTCTGAACACAGTGAGGACTGCACTGAGACCAACAGGAGCAGGCTTTCTTACCATCCAGAGGGAATTAAAAATGCTCAAAAGCTGTTGTAACAGGCCTGAAGGAGGAAAAGGCGGGGGGGAAATGGAGAAAATCATCCTTCCCCTGTTCCCCCCCCCCAGACGAGGTCTGGTTATTAATGGACTTCAAAGGGCAGGGGAGCAGCACTGAATACACATCCCAGAGTCCCCTCATTGCCCTTGGTGTCATAAACTCACCTCCCACAGTACAGCAACAAAGAAATGCTGATCCCTGTCCCTGCTCTGTGAAAGGTCACCCTGAGGAGCACACACAGGAACAGAGCCAGGGTCAGGTACCAACCCACATGGACACACCAAGCACCACTGTGACCAGTGGCCCTGGACCCAATACAGCAAATGCTGAGATCAAATTTGTTTCCAACCTACTCTGTTGTTACCCCAACCCTTAGTGCCCCATGCTGGGTGACAAACAAGGACAGTCGTGGTTCAGCCAGCAACCAAGCCCAACCCATCCACTTGCCCACTCCCACATCAGAAAGATCAGGGAGAGAATTGGAACGGTAAAAACTGGAGATCTCGTGGGCCGAGATCAATATAGATTAATAACGAAAGCAAAGACCACACACACAAGCGAAACAAACCAAGAAATTAAGTCACCTATGAAAAATGCCAATCACTTGTTTTTAAAATTTTAAAAGTTTAATAGTAATAAAATGGTTATAAAAATAGTAATACAATTAGAGTAATAATTTGACAAATTGAATGAGGACAATATGAGACAATAGAGACAAAGAGTTATGGACGTCCAGGTACCTTTTTCTGGGCAGCACGAGCCTGAAAAGGGACCCCCATTAACAAAGGATTAACCCTTAAAAACAACAGCCTGTTGCATATTCATACACTTCATACATGATGCATAAATTCCATTCTAACACAGGATTCTGTCTGGTAATCATCAATTTCTCCCTCTTAATCCTAACAGCGTCTTCGAGGTGGGAAAAAATTTGTTTCTTCTGATAAGAGAGCAATCAATTATTTTTCTCTGAAAGATTTAGGTGTCCTGTGGCTGCTATCTCACTGCGAGTCCTTTCTTTAAAAAAAGTATCCTACATAGCATAGTTTCTATTTTAACATTTTTTATAATCTAAAACTATATTTAACACGCTACTTAAGATAATTAATACAGCATTACTTTCTAACACAACACATATAATATTCATTTTAATATTTGCGAAAAGCCATTCATAAAACACATGCATTTTTCACATCCCCCCTTCGCGTGGGCAAGCAGGTGTTCAGCTATTCCAGGCGAGCAGGGCCCCATCACACGTTACAGTTATTTGGGACAACACACACCATCACTCCAGGCATCCCCCCTCTCCCTCATTGTTGCCCCACTGTATATTCTGAGCGCCGGAACACCGGGGAACCCGGGGGCACCGGGAATGCCGGGATCCCTGCGGGCAGGCCGCCTGAGCGCGGGAGCGCGGACACACCGGGAGCGCGCCCGGGGGGGGCGGTGCCTTGGCAGCAGCCACGTGACCCCGCCCGCAGGGCCGCGTGACGTAGCCCACGTGCGAGCAGCGTTCCGGCCCACGTGACGGCCCCGCGCGCGCCCCCGGCGGCGGGCGCGGCTGTGTGTCTGTCTGTGCGTGCGTGTGTCCGTGTGTCCGGGTGTTCCCCGCCGCTCACGTGACCGGCGTGACTCGGCGCTCACGTGACCGCGCGGCGGCGGGGCCGTGCCGGAGCCGGGGCCGCGCTCGCCATGGGCTGCTGCTACAGCAGCGAGGCCGAGGCCTCCGACCAGGTGGGCCTGGCGCCGGGGGAGCACGAGGCCCGCGGCGGGGGTGGCGCCGGGAGGGACGCTCGGCCCCGCTCCCGGGGCTTCCCGGTGGCGGGGGGCAGGCGGCGCGCGTCCGCGGCGGGGCCCGGCCCTTCCCCGCTCCCGGGCAGGGTCTGAGCGCTGCTCCCGCCTGTCGCCGCCTTCGTGTCGCTCGTTTCGCGCGCGTCCCCCCGGTGCCGCGTGGGGGCTGGAGGCGGCGGCTCGGGGGTCGCGCCGGACCCTCCCGCCGTCCCGCTGCAGGTGTAAGCCCAAGGCCTCACACGGCAGCGGCGGGAGCAGCGCCAGGCTTTCCTTCTTGGGACAGCGGGACTGCCACGCAACTCGGGGGCCGGGACAGAACTGGGGCTGTCACCTGTCCCGCGAAACTTAATCCGGGTGCGGCGGGAGCTGGGCTGTGACAGCCCGTCCCAGGGGGAGCCCAGCCCGCTTCCACTTGTGTGGTGAGAAAGGGAGGAGAAGGGCCTAGGCTAGAGTATGGCAGCAGCGTTTCCCAGCAGGAGGAAGGGGAGAACAAGCTTCTGGCAGGGAAGAGCTGGAGATGCCACTGACAGCATGTGTGGAGAGGTGGTTGCACTCCCAGTTCACCGTGGGTCATAGGCTGAGCACCCTTTCAGGGCAAGACAGACATGGAAAGGCTTGAGCATGTCCAGAGAAGGAAATGGAGCTGGAGCACAAGGAGTGGCTGAGGGAGCCAAGGGGGCTCAGGCTGCTAGGAGGCTCAGGGATTGCTTCTCACTCTCCACAACTCCCTGACAGGAGGGTGGAGCCAGGTGGAAGTCTGTCTCTGCTCCCAGGGAACAAGCAACAGGACAGGAGGAAAGGGCCTCTGGTTGTGCTATAGAAGGTTTAGGTTGGATATTCGGGAGAATTTCCCTAAAAGTGTTGTACAGTTGTGACACAGGCTGCCCAGAACAGTGTTGCAGTCCCCAACCCTGGTGGGATTTAAAAGCAATGTAGACTTGGCACTTGGGTAGTTTGGTGGTGGGCTCAGCAGTGCTGGGAGAACAGTTGGGCTCAAGAGGGCTTTTTCAATTTTGCTGATTCTGTGGTCTTGTTCTCATGGGTGTTTGTGCCCATGATCTCCCTGCTGGGCTCTTCTCACTACCCCTGCAGCACCATTCAGCCAAGCCAGAGGATCGAGGGCTGGGCTCCAGCTCTGCACCTCCTGGAGTGAGTGGAGGAACACACCCTGTGGCTCTGGGAAGCCCCCACCCCAGTGCCTGGGCTTTGGCAGGTGGGGTTCACCTGGCTCAGGTGAGACCCCTGCTATGCCAGGGTGGGCTCTCTGTGTTGCCCAGGCAGGGGTGGGGCACAGTGGGTCCACATTAGCTGTGGGGTTTAATGCAGGTTGATGCTGGCTGCAGACTCCTGCCTGCAGGATTGGCCACTCCCAATGTGCTGCCTGATTTCAGCAACACTTGCTGCCTTTGTGGCTGGAGGGGCTTCATCTGGGAAAAACTGAAATAATTGGGTAAAGAGGTGCTTGGCAGAGCTGAGGCTGTTCTGGGTTACACTGGGATACACAGGGAGCCCTCCTGGCTGGTGAGGGAGAGGTGAGACTTGCCTCATCCCGTGGAGTTAATGCTGCTGGTGTGGGGAAGCCAGGGCTGATTTTCCTCTTGCCTTTCCCTCAGGAGGAAGAGACAAAGCGGCTGCTGGAGCCGGCAGCCAGCCCGCCCAACAAGGTGCTGAACGGAGCAGAGCAGAGCTACCACAACCTGCCGTCAGCACGCACCGATGAGCAGGCCATGCTGTCCTCCATCCTCGCCAAAACAGCCATGTAAGCCTTGGGCTGTGCCCTGGGGCAGGCAGCACCCTCAGGCCGTGTCCCTGGGGCAGGCAGCACCCTCAGGCCGTGTCCCTGGGGCAGGCAGCACCCTCAGGCCGTGCCCTGGGGCAGGCAGCACCCTCAGGCCGTGCCCTGGGGCAAGCAGCATATGTTGGGGACAGTGGTGACCCTGGCTGTGGCACACAGCTGGGGCTGCCTGGCTGTGGGCCCTGGTGGTCAGCCATAGGTGCTGAGGGGAAGGGAGGAGCTGGCAGAGCCCCCCATGTCCCTCTGCCCTCAGACAGCCCCTCCCTCAGCTTTGAGCCCCATGGGGACACAGAGAGAAGACCTGAGGTGTGAGGTAGCCCCTTGGGTGCTGGGCTGGAAGTAGGGGCAGGGTTTGGGTGAGAAAGTGAGTTCAGGGGGATGTGGAGAGGGTGGCTGGAGGGGCAGCAGCACTGCATCCCCTTCGGAGGAGGCTTTTCCTCAAATGCACAGGGGCACTGTGGGGAGAGGGCTGTGTCCAGCCTGGCTGGGAGGGCTTTGGGATGCTCGTAGGCCCCTCTGCTCCCCTGCCTGACACTGCAGAGCTAGTGGCCACTGTGTGTGTCCAGCATGCAGGGCCACAGCAGCTCTGAGCACTGCTCTGCTCTGGGGTGCACACAATGGGGCTCAGCAGGGCCCTGGGTAAGGGCCTAGCTCCTCTGTGAGCCCAGGGCCTGGTACAGGGGCTTTCAGGAAATCTGCCAAGGACATTGTCCTCCCAGTGGTTCCTTTTATCTCCAGGTAGCTGCATGCCAAACTCCCCAGAGCCCAGACCAGCCCCCAGCTTCCTGCAGCCTCTGCCTGCCTCCCTCTGCCCCAGGGCAGCTGTGGGCAAACAGTCCCTGGCATTTCCTTCCTGGCAAGCAGCCCGTCCAGCCTGGCACACTTGTGGCTGGGCGAGTTTGGCCTTGAGATGTTTGTCTTGGGGTGCTGGACTTCGTCTGCCTGGTCAGAGGATGCTCTGAGATGGGGAGGGAACTCGGGGGGAGCAATGGGAGCCACTGTCTTGTGTCTCTGCAGCAACATCATCGACGTGTCGGCAGCGGATTCCCAGGGCATGGAGCAGCATGAGTACATGGACAGAGCCAGGCAGTACAGGTGGGAGCTGCACTTCTCCCCTGGGGTCCCTGCAGTCCTTCACAGCTGTGTGTGTCCCTGGGCAGGTCCCAGGGGTTTTGGCCTGAGGGAGTGAACTCGGCATGAAGAAGGGCTGCCTCATCTCAGAGAGCAGGGTGCAACCTGCTCAGGGAAGGCTGATGGCAGTGCAGGCAGCAGAGCCCATGACAAAGGGCTCCTGTGTTCACCCAGCCCTTGGGGCAGATGGTGGGGGGCTGGATGTGACTGCTTCTGTTTGACAGGTGCCTATGTGGGAGAGCTGGAAGCTCCCTCACCCTCCTGCTGCAGGGAGTGAAGAGGGCTGGATGCTGAGAGTGCAGCACCACTGCTCTCTCTTTCTCCCTCTGGGGGTGCAGCACCCATCTTCTGGATGTACCCATGTCCTGGCATGGCACTCATGTTGGCTGCTCTCCCCTCACAGCACACGCCTGGCCATGCTCAGCAACAACCTGACGCACTGGAAGAAGCTCCCACTGCTGCCATCCCTGACTAACCAGCCGCACCAAGTGCTCGCCAGCGACCCTGTCCCCTTTGCAGACCTGCAGCAGGTGAGCAGGGCTGGGCTCACCTGAGCCCTTGGGATGCTCCCCAGGGACACATCCTCATCCTGGAGGAGCAGTAATGCCCAGAGCCCTGACACAACTTGTTAGAGCTGAGGGCAAAGCCTAGGTCAGGCTTAAGGCCTTGTTAGAGGTGGGGGCAAAGCCCAGGACAGGCTTAGGGACTTGTTAGGGCTGGAGGCTAACCTGCAGCAGTTTCTTTGGGATAACTGGGGGTTTCAGTAGCCACCAGTGACACAGCCATGTCTTTGTGCCTGCAGGTGTCCCGGATAGCTGCCTATGCCTTCAGTGCGCTCTCACAGATCCGTGTTGACGCCAAAGAAGAACTGGTTGTACAGTTTGGCATCCCCTGAACCTGCCCCCACCACTGCTGCTTCAGCGCTTTGGGTTGTTTTCGGTTTTTTCCTGATTTTTTTCTCTTTGTATCCCTTCCCTCCCCATGCTGCTGCCACAGAACTTGGACAGATACCCTGTTTCCTACTAAATGCCAAGGCGCCCATCATTGGCACGTTGAGCCCACCTGCATTGCTTGAGGCTTTCTCCTCCTCGTGGGTGGGTGGGTGGGTGTGTGTGCGTGGGGAAGAGGCTGTGTCAGCTGGATGCTGCCTTGCACAGGGACAAGCACAAAGGGAACAGCCGGTGCAAGGAGGCCCTGGTGTGGGTCAGCACCATATGCCAGGTCACCAGGATGGGTGGGCTGGAGCCAGGCAGATGTGATGCTCTGCATGGGGCCTGGTGGCTCCAACACCATCCCTTCTCCTTTTTACATGTTTAGACCTTTATTTCGGTTGTTTTTTGGTGGTTTTGTTCTTTTTTTTTTTTTAATTATTATTTTTTGCCACAGTAGATAAAGCCACGTTCATCCAGTGCCTGTCTCCACTGTTCTCTGTCGGACACAGCATGGACATGATGGGGGAGCCATGCCCTGGTGGGGGGGGTACACACATCTGTCTGACCCCTGTCTCCTCTTTGATCATGTCCCATGGGGACAGGGAATGTATGATAACCCACCTTTAAGGGGAAGGAAGCACCTGAGATTACTAAATGCTCAAGATCGAAAGGAATGTCAAAAGTCAGGGTTTGCAAATAATCAGAAAGTTTCATTAGTAAATGACACACTTGGCATGGAAATTGCAGGGTACCTTTTTATGGATAAGTTTCCGCAGCCTGAAGAGGATTTCTCATTTTCTATGCAAATAAGTTTTCATGCACAGTCAGTTCTTTCAGGTCTTCCTGGAAATAGATCCGACAGGTTTGGGGGTCATTGGTCATCTTAATCCTACCCACCTCCTGCCACTCATTCTTGTGCTGTTTTGTCTTGTGCTTATCAGCAGGAACTACAATGAGGATGTTTTTCCAGGGCTGTCCTATCTCACCTTGCCTCCCTTCTTCAGCCATATCTTTTTCTTTGTCATGGGGTGTTAATATCAACAGTGTTTATTACCAACAGTCCTTGGTTGATTCCACAGCCGTCCAATTATCTTTGTTTGAGACATATGCATTAGCTCTCCTATGTTCTGGGAAGAGAATGCTCAGTGATACTTACTTTGGACTGTGGTTTATAGGGTCATCAGAGAGTGGGCTTCAGTATGCATTAGCCCTTTATAATTGAGAGCTCAAAGGTCTCACTTTGGATTGCTGTCTAGGTCCCAAGAGAGTGGGCTTCAGTCATAGTAATTTTCCATCCTGGCCACGATTTGAGTTGGTTGAAGGTTCAACAGCAAAAATACTGTTTCACTTGGGTTGTTACTCAAGCAAGAAAAATAAGTTTCCAAGTCTGTTCATTAAAAAACAGATGCTCAATAAACATCTGTTAGTTCCTTGGTACAGATTATATCAAATAAGCTCAAGAGGGGCTTAGTCTGGGTGGTCTTTGTGAAGGCCAAGCCTAACAAGCATTTCTCAGGTCTTGGTGGGGCCTGGGCAGTGGTGGGGACATGTGCCACCACAGTCCAGTCCATGACTACACTTACCTGGGCCTCTACAGGATGAAACAGGGCTGTGGCCACAGGGACAAGTGCAGGACCCCCCCAGGTGAGAGCAGGCCCCACTAGTAGGTCAGGACAGGTTTGGGGGCTGCTGAGGACCCCTGTCTAGCTGGCACTGCAGGGCAGTGGGGTGTCTGCATGTGACACCCTGCTAGAGTCCCCCACGTGCCCCCTTGACTCACTGTGGGCTTCCAGTACTCCGTGTGGCCTCACACAACCCCCTGTCATGTGTCCACCTCTGACTGGGGGCTTGAGACCCACACTCCCACACACCTCGGTGGTCCCATCTGTGTCACTCTACCTTCACGGGTGGCCCCTGCCTGTGTTCTCCTTGCCCCCAGGCAGCCCTATAAGGCCCCCGACATAAGAGCTTCCCTCGCTTGGACTGCTGCACGTGTTCCCCAGGTAGCCCACGGTCCCGGGGACCGGCCAAGCGCTGTCCCCTCCGGTGCAAGGCGAGAGCCGAACGCCGCGATTCGCGGCCTGCCCGCCCGCGTGACGCCCCCGGCCCGGCGGTGCCCAATGGGCAGCAGCGGGGGCGGGCGCTGCCGTTCGAATAAGAGCGGCCTCGGCCCGGACCCTGGCGGCTCCGGCTCGGGAGTGGATCGTCATTACTGCTGGAGCCCCGGCGACTGCGACACCGACACCGACGCCGACGCCGACGCCGAAGACGATCCCCAGCCACGGTCACGGTACGGGGAAAGCTGAGGTGACCTGCGGTGGGGGGCCCGGTTGTTCCCTCGGCGGGCGCTCAGGGCCGCTGAGCGAGGCTGGGCTCGACCTGTGCTGAGGTGGGCAAGGTGCGGAACCCTCGGGCGAGCGGGGCATGCGTGTGGCACAGCCTCCGTCTCGGGCCAAGCTCAGCGGCATCCCCGTCCCTGAGGGACGGGGCAGTCGCGGCTGGAGCGCTGTGGCTCGGGCGTGTGGTTCTTCGTTTCTCGGGGCTTGGCAAAATCGGAACCTTCGCCAGCGGCACTCGGCGGCCGCGCTCCTTGCGAGTTCCTCTGCTGCCCCCAGCGCCGGTTCGAAAGAACCTTCTCCTTGCCCTTCCTGTGCCGTGCTTGGGACGGCCCCATCCTGCGGCCCTGAGCCTCCTGAGGCAGCCCGGGCGCTGCGGAGATGACTTCCGATTGTCTCCGGAACAGCAGCGAGGGGTGAGCGTCCCTTCCTCGCCTGACTTCTCCCTGGTCTAGCTGGCGACCCGTAGGGTCCGGTTTCCTTTCAATCTGTGGCCGCGGGGTGTGTGCGTATCGGGGGTAGATATTCAGGGGTCAGCTGGATGTGACTCCAGTCAGGTTAGAGGGAAACGTAGCATCGGGGGCCATTCTCTGCCGAGCCCCGGCTTCCCTGAGCTGCGCTGGGGCCGGGAGCGGGTCTGTGCCGGTCCCACCGGCTCAGCTCTCCGTCCTTCGGCCCGGGCTGGGTGACGGCAGTGAGCGCGTCCAGGCTCGGACGATTCCCCTCCCCGCGGCGAGGCGCCGGAGGTTTCTGTGCCGTGCGCCTTTAATGAGCGCGGCCCCGCCGCGGTGACGTGGGGTGGCGCAGGGCCAGGAAGGGGAACCGCCGCCTGCCAGCCCCGCCGAAGAGAAGCTCAACAACTTTCTTTTGTGCGTGGCCGCTGGCTCCCCGGCCCTTCCCGGCTTGCCAGCGCTCATGGCGGATTAACCCCAGCGAGCCGACGACGGCCGCGCGGCCCCGGTAAGGCCCCAACAAAGACTTTCTGCCTCTTCCTTGTTTTGTTTTCCACGGGGCTGGGGGGGAGCGAGGCGGGGGCGGCGAAGCTCAGCTCGCCCAGCTCCGCCGCCTCGCCGCAGCGTACGGCTCCCGGCCCGGCCCCTCGCCAGCCCCCGAGGGGTGCGGGTCCCCGGGGCCGCGGGTGCCGCGCCGGGCTCGCCAACATCCGGGCGCTCGGGCCGGCGGCTGCTCTCCCCCTCTGCCCCGCGCCTGCTGCGGGCCCGTCCGTGCCGGGGGCTGCCGTGGCTCGCTCACCCCGCCTGGGTGCTTCCCGCAGCCGGACCCTGGCCCGGGACAGCCCGGGGCCCGCGGGCTTTGCGTCCCCCGGAGCGTTGGCACGGCGGGAGCTCCGGAGCGCGGGCTTGCGTAACGCCGTGTTGTGACCGGAGCGGCGCGGGGAAGGAGGGGAAGGACAATGCCGCCGCCACCTCCGGAGCTCGTTCCCCGGTCCCCGTTGCGCCCCTGCAGCTGCTCTCGGCGGGGATGCAGCTGGAAGGCGCTCACGGCCGCTGGCGGGCTCCCGACCGCTTCCCGCCTGCCATCACGAATGGCACGTCCTCACGGAGGGTCATGGCGCTGTCTCAGCCGCTCAGGGTGGCCCGTGTCGCCAGTGACAGGCCAGGCTGGGAGCGCGGCAGGAGCCCTGCCTGCCCGTCCAGATCTCACGCCAGGCACCAGTGTGTTCGCAGACTGGTTCTGGTAAAACCCAGCTCGACGCTGGTGGGACACGGTTTTCACCCAGGATCTCTGCATCCAGCGCTGCACGAGTGCTTTGCCCGGTGCCTTTGGGTGGATTTTTAGGGAGAGGTCTTGGCTGTGCCACCGGGGGGAGGGACAGGAGTTGCTGAGTGACCCAGCCGCGGGACAGGGAGCTGGGTTTTAGCCAAATTGGAGGGAGGACCTGTCCTGCTGAGGATCCCATGTGTCCCAGCTGGACTGACGGCAGCGGGAGCTCGTGTTGTGCGGAGCAGCTGCAGATGCCAGCCAGGCTCCTGGCCCGTCACGGTGTGGGTGTCCAGGTGCAATACAGGCTGAGGAGCCCCCTCCTCATCTGGGTCACTTTTTGGCTCCCAGCAGTCCCCTCCCCTGGAAGACTGCCAGGGTGGCACCGGGGGCAGCCAGCGTGGAGGCAAAGGTCGCTGTGAAGGGGACCTGGCAGTGATCCCAGATCCCGTCAGGGCAGCTCATCCCTGCTCCCTCCCAATGCAGCTGTGAGCTCCCTGTGCCCCCAGCAGGTGGTTCTTTCACTAGCAGCAGTGGAAGGGGAGCTGGCAGAGCTTCAATGGCTTGGCCACTGCCTTGCTGGGCCAGAAATGTTAGTGACATTTGGAGGCGAGGGAGGGAGGAAGGCACAGCAGGAGAATGAGGAGCCTGAGCAGCAGTTTTCCACTGACCCCTTGTCAGCATCCTAATATGTGGGAGTGGACCAGGCTGCTGCTCATCATTGTTCCCCACTCTGAACCTGTGGGGAGGCAGGAGGATGCTGGCTGCTCCTGCACAGCTGGCCAGATGCAGGGACACATCCTTCCTTGTGGGCACAAATGCCTGGTGCTGGGTGCCAGTAATTTAGTAACATAGTTACTATAGTTTACCTTTTTTATCCCCTCCTCCCCCTTTGTTGATGTTTTTAGGTCTGTGCAGGAACCTGATAGGCTGGCCACAATGTCACTCCATGGTGAAAGAGTTGCTGCTCTCCTGGCTTGGGTAAGTCCCCCTCCTGTGCTGGAGCTTGCTGCATGGGTGGGACATACTGCTGCCAGCTCTGGCAGCTTCCAGGCTCGATGCTGGGGCTTGTCACAGGAGGGATTGTGGCTGGGGCAGGTCCTAGGGTAGTCCAGTTCCTACTGTTCCTGGGCAGGTGGGTGTTTGCAGGAGAAGCCTTGCTCACCCTTCCTGTTGAGCAACCAGAAATGCTGGAATGGCTTGGTCTGGTCATGGAGACTGCCTGGGAGATGGAGCTGAGCCTGAAGCAGGCAGCAGCTGTACTGTAAAGGTGTTGTTGGATCTGTCTCACAAAGCACTCCTGTGTCCAAGTGAAAACTCCTAGAATGGTTTGGGTTAGAAGGGGCTTTTAAGCTCATTCAGCTGGAATGCCCTGCCATGGGCAGGGAGACCTCCCACTAGACCAGCTTGCTCCAAACCACATCCAGCCTAGCCTTGAAAACCTCCAGCCAAACCATGGCTTCTCTGGACAACCCTCACAGGGAAGAATTTCTTCCCAATATCCCATCTAACCCTGCTCTCTTATCAGTGGGAAGCCATTTCCTCTTGTCCTGTCACTCCAGGCCTTTGTCCAAAGTCCCTTTCCTGCTCTTTTGAACCCCCTTTAGGCACTGGCAGGGGCTCTAAGGTCTCCCTGGAGCCTTCTTTTCTCCAGGCTGAACATCCCCAGGTCTCTCAGCCTCTCCAGGGAAGAGGGCTCCAGCAGTGTGATGAATGGGACCTGTGCCAGACTCCCAGATGTGGAGCTGTGGGGATCATGTTCATCTGTTCCCTGGGAAGGGGTGGTTTAAAGGGATGGACCTAATTCCACCTCCAGACCAGTCTTGCTGTCCCCTGCCAGGACTGGAGGTGGTGAGTGGCATAGCACAGTGTTGTGTTGGTTTCTGACTGTCCCACACCATTTCTAGGTGAACAGCACCAAGGTTTGTCCTGATCCCATCAATGATCTGTCCCAGCTCCAGGACTGCAGTGTCTTCATCAGAATTATCCACAAAATGTGAGTATGGGGAGCTGTGTACACATTTCAGACCACACAGCTGGGTCTGTGCTGTGCCTGGAGCCATGGCCTCAGCCCCCAGGAGCTAAGGGCTCCTGTCTTGGGCAGGGTGGGAGTCTTGGGGTATTTATTCCTCCTCTGGCCTATGAGATGCTGGGATCTCCATCTCCTCTGTGGCACTGCACAGCTGGGGTCTGCCTGCAGAGCTGTTGGGTCCCACAGAGCTGCCCAGGGAATGTTTTGGCCAGAGTTCCTGTCCTTTGAGACCTGTTATCACATCTGGCACTTAACATCTGGGTTCACTCCTGGCATTGTAGAGAAGACCTGAGTGCTGCTGCCAGTGGCACAAGGGTTCCTGCAGCTGCACAGGAGATTATCCATTTCTGTTGGTGCTGCTCTGGTGAGGGAACACCCAGCAAGTTTTCCTGAGTGGCAGCCTTGGGATCCTGAGGAAGCCTTGTATCTGGAAAGCAGTGTAAAGCATGACAATTTCTGCCTCATGAGGTGCTTCTGTTGCCTTGTCAGGCTGCTGCTGTGTATGGTGTGGTCAGGATGGAGCCTGTGTGCTCTGCCCTGGGACCTGAGGTGGCTGGGCAGGGGTGGGAGGAATGCCTCCTTCAGGAATTGTATTTGTTCCCTGGGAGCAAGGGCCAACTAAAATTTACAGGCCATAATGGGCATCAGAGGTGGGACAAAGCCTGGTGGTTGAGGAGTTGACAAAACAAATGGAGAGGGTGTGAAGCTGCCGTGAATTGCTTTCAAACCCTTCCGGTGGGAGGCTCACTGGGAGCCTGTCTCCTATAATTACCTCCTGCACAGGGTAAGGAGAGCCTGCCTGGAGCAGGGATCTGCCTGCAGTGGGTGGGGAGGAAGGAGCTGCCTGCACCACAGATATATTTAGTCAGACCTGGTTAATCTCCTGGCTCTGTGCTCCAGCTGGGATTAGTAGGGATCCTGGTGGCGTGTGCTCTCTAAAGAGGCCTGGCCATTGCTTGATAAAGTGGGGTGGCAGCAGGGCAGCTGCCACAGCAGCTGGCTGATCTGAGAGCTCCTGGTGGCACAAGAGGAAGTCTGTGAGGAGGAGCAAATCCTCGTGGCAGCCCCTGTCCCAGGCCAGGTTCTTGTTTTTGGCACGTTGGGAGTAAGTGACAGTACTCAAGCAGTGCTGGTCAAGCATGATTGGTGTGGGTTTTGGGCATGCCATTTCTGAGCAGCCATTTGGTTTAATAACCTTTGTAGGTCTCCTCCAACTCAGGATATTCCATGAACTGGTGGCTGCTCCGGAAGAGTGTAGTTGCAAATAAGTGCAAGAGGAAGCTTCAGCTTCCCAAAATCCAGCAAGAAAAGCCCAAGGCTGCATGCACGGACTGGCCCCTGTGGTGCTTCCCGGCCAGTGGGGCCACCACAAGCTCCCTGTGCTGTGCTGGATGCTGGGGCTGGCAGGCAGAATGGGAAGCAGTGCCAGGGGGTGTTGGCTGCCTGGCTCCAGCAGGGGGATTACGGGGGATTCCCCTCCTGTGGTGGGTCCTGGCTCTGCTGGCCCTGGTGTGGGGGCAGAAGGCAGAGCAGCGCCCCAGAGCCAGCCCTGGCTCAGCAAACCCTGCTGCACAAACCTCAGGATTGGTCTAATCCCTCCAGAAGGAGTTAATGCAAGCCTTGCACTCTTCCAGCCACGGGAGCAAGGAGGGGGAGTCTGTGCTGGAGCAGCCGCTGCCAGAGAGGATCTCCTTCATCCATGGTTTCCTGCAGAGTAAGACCCTCCGCTGGTGCTGGGGAAAGGGACTGCCCGTGCTCGGTGCCCCTGGCCTCTGAGAGAGTCTGGGCTGCTGTCTGCAGCTTCCCTCTCCACAAAGTGACCCCCTCACCCCACATCAGCATCTTTGTGAGGTGCCAGCAGCTTTCCTGCAGCAGCCTGTGGAAGGGGAAACTTCCAGACGGAAATCCTTATCAGACCCCGGGTTCAGAGCAAAAGAGGTTCTGGATGTGAAGGGCAGAGTGCCAGTGGCTGCTCTGGTGATGCTGCCTGGAGTAGTTTTCCTAGTTGGGTACCTGCTCTTCAAATCCCAGTTGAAAACCTTTACCCAAGCAGAAATCCTGGGAGGGGAAATGGGAAATATCTCACACTCTTGTTCAGTGTGTTATCACATCTGGCACATAACATCTGGGTTCACTCCTGGTTCACTCTTGTTCAGTCTTTCCTTGAGGGAAGACTCCATATCCCACCCAGAGATGGAGCTCTCTGTGCTGATGTTGGGGGGGAGATGCCAAGGTGGGGAGGCTGGGATTTAGGATGGGGTTCCAGGGAGGGGAATGAAAGTTGGTCAGAGCTAATGGCCAAGGCTGACCACAGGGATCTCAGCTCTGGAGCCCATCCTGCCCCATGTCCCTTCTCCCTGGGGATGCATTCCAGTGCCCTCCTGGCCATGAGTGCCACCTCAGGGGAGGCAGTGTGCCCAGTGGCTCCTGTGTGACTGGGAATTCTGCTTCGTGTTGCAGAGCACTGCCGGCACAAAGTGGCTGCAGAAAACCTTGTCTCTGCACAGAAACTCCTGGATGGAGAGGAGCTGGCCCTGGCCAAGGTAACTGTGTGGTGTGTTTTAGTCCCAGATGGCACCAATGTGCTTGTGACTGGCCTGGGGTTACTCATGCTTTTCCTGCCTTGCTCAGGTTGCCGTGCTGCTCCTGTATCACACCTCCATGAGTTCCAAGGATTCTGGGGACTGGAATGAACTTGACTACAAGACCCAGGTAATCCCTTTGAGGTTCCTCCTCTGGATCTGGGGTGCAGGGGGAAGCAGCAGTTCCTTTGGGGGAAGGTGCTCTGGGACTTGCACTCCTGGGTCTCACTGAAAGATGGTGTGGAGTGGGCACTGTGGTGCTCACTGGTGGTTTTGGACTATCAAAAGCTTGTGGCAGGCAAGTGTGGGCAGCAGCACAGGCAGGCAGGGAGCTGCCCCACGCCTGCTGTGGTGCTGCCTGTGACCTGCAGCAGAGCCACTAACTCTGCAGCTCCTCCAACACAGGTTGAACTGGCATCAATTGTCAAATTTGTGCTGGATAACGAGGAGTGCCTGAATGAGAATTTGGAGCCATTTCTGCAGAGGAAAGGTAAGTGCTGCCCTGGCTTTTCCTCCTGTTTATGCTGCTGTAGCTGCCCAGCTGTAAAGGCAGCTGCACAACCCAGATGTGCTCAGCTACAAAACAGTCCCCTGTAAACTCCCAAGAGTAGGGCTACCTCAGACCTGCTGGCTCTTCCTACTCAGCAGTACCTCAGCCTTTCCCTGGAGGAGAGGAGCAGGTGGGATGCTGACAGCCTTGTGGGAGTAGAGTTGCTGGGGAAGGCCTGTGGAGCAGGAGGGATGAGGATGTAGGGCAGGTTTTTGGCTTCCTCAGTTGGCTATTCCATCCTTACTGGAATCTGTGGTTCCTGTCCCCCTGAGATTTTTGCTGCTCAGCCTCTTAGATATTAAAGATGGCAGCCTTCTTCTCCCTTTTTATTTCCAGCAGAGGCGCCCTTGTCCAGTGTGTCCAGCAGCAGCTCTGAGGAACATTCCCCACCGTTCTCTCTCCCTTACAAGAGAGAGGTGCATTTCCTGGAGCTGCAGAAGATCGCCTCCTTCCCCAGCACCAAGTACGTGCCCTGCCTCCTGGCTGCCAGGGGAAATGGAGGAAGGGAGGGGTGGGTGGGGCAGCTTTTGGGACCCACAGGTGTAGCCAGGCTGCACGCTGACTCCCCGGAATGCCCTGTTCTGCCTTGGTGCTCTCCTGCTGCACCTTGCTCTGGCATGATGTGGGGATGGATGATGGAGGTGAGCTTGGGCTCCAGCTCCTTTTGGAATCATGGAATCATTCAGGTTGGAAAAGCCCTCTGAGACCATCGAGTCCAACTGTGCCCTCGGCTCTGCCAAGGCCACCACTGAACCATGTCTCCAGTGGAGGCATTTTTCCATATTTGCCCCTGGAGACCTCCAATGGAAGACCAGCTTTTATATTACCTCCATTATGGAAATGGCTTTGTATGTGTGTTGTTTTGTTCCTAGATTTTGAAGGCAGCAGTTCCTTGGGGATGCAGGCAGGAGAGCCTGCCCCAGAGATGGGGGTGCAGAGTGGGTCTGGCTGCATGGGGCCTGGGCTGGCTCAGGGTAATCAGCTTGTGTGTGTCTCTCTGCAGCCTCCCCAGCACTCCATCTTCGCCTATGGGGGACATCATGCAGACCCCCCAGTTCCAGCTGCGGAGGCTCAAGGTGCAGCTGGCCTTTGAGAGAAAGAAACAGGAAGAGCTGGAGGGGGAGGTGGTGGAGAATCACAAGCTCATCATGGAGAAGGGTCAGTACCAGCACATCCTGGGGTGCAGGGAGGGCTCTGGGGCAGAGATCTCCCCATGTTTCTCTGATTTTTCTTTTGTGACCCCATCACAACTCTGCTCATGCATGGTCCATCCTGCCATGCCACAAGTGAGACTCCAGGTTCCTTCTTCCATCTTGTATTGCCTTATATATCCTGGGCAACAAAAGCCATGACTGAAGCAACACCTATGCTGAGCAGCAGCACTGGTGGTCGCCTGGTTCTTTGATCTCCTGCTGCAGAGGGTTCCTGTGCAGAAATGCTGTTGTGGGGGCTTCAGGTGACATGAAAAGTTGGTAATGGGCCCTTTCTTGCCCCCTTTCCCAGATGCTCAGATCACCAAGATGCAGCAGCAGATTGATCGCTTGGTAAAGCTCAATGAGAAACAAGCTGAAGACCTGCTGGAGCCCAAAGAAATGGAGGAGCTGAGGGAGAAGAATGAGAGGTAATCCTCCAGGAACATCCACTCCTTCCTCCTAGGTGGGACCTTGTCACTTCCACATCCCCAGACTCTGTATGTTGTCTGCGTCTTCCCTAGCAGTGCATGAAACAGGGGAGAAAACAAACCTTCTGGTTCCTCTGCTGCTGGGGAGAGGACAGCAGGCACAGAATCAAGAAAGTGGCTGGGTTGGAAGGGAACTTAAAGCTCATTTAGCTGAAATACCCTGCCATGGGCAGGGTCATCTTCCACTAGACCAGGCTGCTCCAAGCCCCCTCCTACCTGGCCTTGAATCCCTTCCAGGGATGGGGCAGCCACAGCTTCTCTAGACAACCTGTGCCAGGGCTTCATCACCCTCTCAAGGAAGAGTTTCTGCCCAATATCCAATCTAACCCTGTCCTCTGTCAGTGGGAGACCATTCCCTCTTGTCCTGTCACTCCAGACTGGTGTCCAAAGTCCCTCTCTGGCTGTCTTGGAGCCCCTTTAGGTGCTGGAAGGTGCTCTGTGGTGTCCTCAGAGCCTTCTCAACTCCAGGCTGAACACCCCCAGGTCTCTCCAAGTCTGTCTCCAGAGCAGAGGGGCTCCAGCAGCCCTTGGAGCATCTCCTCTGGACTTGCCCCAGCAGCTCCACATCCTTGTGATACTGAGGACCTCAGAGCCAGAGGCAGCTCTGCAGATGGGGTCCCACCAGAGAGGAGCAGAATCCCCTCCCTTGTTGCCCACGCTGTGGGATCAGCCCCTGACACAGCTGTGCCACCATCGCGCCGCCCGTGCCCTCAGGGCAGTTATGGCCTGCAGCCCATTTTTATTGCAGTGGGCATGGATCCAGTCCCAAACCATGCAGCCTGTTCTAACAGCCCACTCTTAACCCAAACCCTGCATGGGAGCAGCTATTCCTATTATGTGAAAAGGGTGTGCTGCCCTTGTGGGTCTCACCTGCCCTGGAAAAGGGGAAGCTTTCAGGGTGATCCTGGAACTCCTGACGCCAGCCCATTTCCCAGGCCTTTACTTTGATCCCATGTACTGGGCTTTGTCACACACTTGAAATCACCTGTCACACTGCATCCTGGTCTTTGCTCTGTCCCTGTGCCATTGTTTACTCGGGAAGGCTGCCCAACCTCCACTGGAAGTGCCATGTCTTTTTTTGTCCTTTCCTCACTTATTTCCCTTTGCAGGGGGGATGGCTGGAGTCCCACAGCTGCCTCTGCTCTCAGTTTGGAGCAGTTGGGCTTCTGCAAAGCACAAAGATTGCTTATCTGTCCTCTGCTTTGCCAGCTGTTGGGACCCAGTTTTAGAGCTGGGTTGATGGTAGAGTCACAGCAGGGCATGGAGATCCCTTGGAACCTTTAGTTTCTGTGGCAATATCCAGCAGCAGCGATCCCTGGTGATATCCTTGCCTGCTGCCAGCACGCACCGCCTCCTTAAGCACCTCCTTTCCCACAGCTTGGTGGGGCGCCTGCACGAGGCCTTCAGGCAGTGCCAGGACCTGAAGACTGAAAAAGCCCAGATGGACCGGAAAATCAACCAGCTCTCCGAGGAGAATGGGGATCTTTCCTTCAAGGTACGGGGTGCAGTGTCCTCTGCGTATCCCCACAGCCCAGCTGGTTGTGATGGAGCCCGGGGGGAGGATTTGATGGCAGTGCTGGATGCTGGGATGTTTATGGTTCTGCTAATGCAATCTTTGACCCAGTGAGCAAGCCTGCCTTGGGCTCTGGATCCTGATGCAAATAGGAACTCTGGTGGGAGAATGGCAGCTGGGTGGAGCTGCCTGCATCTGGTGAACACCCAGAACCCAGGATGCCCATGTGTGCTGCAGCTCTTGGGAAGGGGGAGTGGGCAGAGCCTTGAACAGCAAAGGCACACTCTGCCTCTCTTCTGGACTGGGTGGATTTTCATTGGCAGCTGCGGGAGATCGCCAGCAATATGGTCCAGCTGCAACGAGCCCTGAATGAGCTCTCAGAGGAGCACAACAGTGCCATGGCACAGTCGCAGGAAAAGCAGCGGCAGCTGGAGAAGGACCTGCATGCAGCTATGCAGGATAAGGTCAGGGGGCCTGGGGGGTGGTAGGTGCCCCCCTGTAGCTTCCCCATGGTCCCCCCCAGCTGGGGGACACGCCAACTGCAAGCAGGGTGCAGCAGCCAGGAGCCCTCCTGCCCATTTTTGCCAGCACACAGGGAGAAGCTGTGTACCTGTCAGCTCCTGTGGGAAGCCTCTCCCTGAAACTAAGGAAGGGTTCCCCAGGGTGGGACGGGCTGCTGCCCTTGGTTGGTTGGCTCTTCGGTCTTTCCCCCATGCTCAGTCCCATCTCTGTCACCAGAAATGCTCAGAAGAGAAAATCGAGATTCTACAGGGAAAGATTTCGATGCTGGAAGAGCAGTTGGCCAAGCTGGAGGAATGCAGCACCCAGGAGAAGGGAGAAGTCATGGGAGACATTTTGAAGGTACATTGGGGCTCCTGCAGCTTCAAGGGCTTGAATGGTAGATGACTCCAGTTGGAGAGAGCAGCAGGTGCCAGGAGATGCATGGTAAAGCCATGTGGGGCAGAGCCTACTGCTCTGTGCTGCTGGATAGGGGATGTGGGGCTGAGCACTCTGGGAGAGCTCCTTTTGGGCTGAATTTGCAAATCCTGCTGCCAGGGAGCTGGTGGCTTCCCCAGCTTGCCACAATATGAACTGGTTGTGAAGAGAGCATCTCCTGCACGGTGAAAAGAAGGTGTTTGGTCCAAGGGAGCAGAGTGGCACAAGACTGAGGGAAAAGCAAGAGGTGCCCTTGGGGTGTGATGAGAGGGAAGGCAGGCACTGGGCAGCTCCCAGTGGGATGCAGCACGTGGGGCTCTGGTGAGCATGTTGGCTACAACTTGAGTAACACCTAGGGAGTGCATGTTTTGTCCCTGTAGTCTGACCTTGGCTGGGCACCAGGCACCCACCAAGCTCTGCTTGTGGGTGCACTCCCTTATCTCAGCCTACTAGTTATTTTCCATCTTATTTTTCTCTCCCCTAGCAGGATAGGGGAGAGAAAAATAAGATGGAAAATAACTAGTAGGCTGAGATAAGGCAATTTACTAAAGCAAAAAGAGTGAAAGCTTGTGTGTGTTTAAGCAAAGAGAAAAGCAAATCTCTAGTTCCCATCAGCGAGTGATGTTTAGACACTTCCTGAGAAGCAGGGTTTCAGCTTGTGTAGTGTCTGCTCCAGAAGGCAAACACTAAAATAATGAGTGCCCTCCATTCCTCCCACATCCCTTATCTTTTATATCTGAGCTGACATCATATGGTGTGGAATATCCCTTTGGTTAATTTGTGTCACTTGGCCTCATTGTGCCCAGTCCCAGACCCTTGCTGGGGGTGGGGGTTAAGAGTTCATTTTCCCTTGGAAGCTTTCACAGTGCTGTGCTTTGCATGGGTAGCTGGAAGGTGTTGATATGACAGCAGTGTTTTGGGTACTGCTGAGCAGCACTATCTGAGTCAGACCCAACAGTCTCCCTGCTCTTCTGTTTGCCAGCTGGAGGAGCTGAAGCAGGAGGTGTCCAGCCTCACGGCCAAAGGACTGCAGCTGGAGGAGGCGAAGCAGCAGCTGGAGGAGGCGAAGCAGCAGCTGGAGAAGGAGAAGCAGCAGCTGGACAGCCTTGTCACCAGCCTCCAGAGCTCCCTCTCTGAGAGCCAGCGGGCCCAGGAGAGGCTGAAGCGGGACCTGCAGGCACGGGCTGCCGAGGAGCAGGCTGAGCGGCTGGCTGCCCTGAGCGCCCAGCATGAGCAGGCCCTGCGGGAAAGGGACTCTGCCCTGCAGCAGCTCCAGCAGGCCAACACATCCCTCAGCAGCCAGCTGCAGGCCAGGGATGAGGAGAAGGCTATACTGAGCCGCAAGGTGGGCGAACTGGAAGCCCAGATCCTGGAGCTGGGTGCCCAACGGCAGCAGGGAGTGGCAGCAGAGGCACTGAAAGCCCAGCTGCAGGAGCTGGAGGGCAGGCTGAAGGAGAGCCAGCAGAGGCTGGCTGAGAGGGACAGGCTGGCCCGGGAGAACAGCCGCCTGCAGGAGCAGCTGCTCTTCCTGGAGGAATCGCTGCGGAACACTGAGGGAATATTGGAGGACGAGAAGAGACGGGCAGCTGAGTGCCTGGAAGGCAACCTGGCCAGGATCGCTGAGCTGGAGGCAGAGAGACAGCAGCTGGTTCAGGGCCGGGAGCCAGCCCTGCCGGAGCAGGGTGAGGAGCTGGCCACACGCCAGGTGTCACAGGAGAGCCGGGAGCAGCCCGTGGGAGCCTCTCCTGCTGCCCGAGGGGAGGATGAAGAGTGCAGGCGGCTGAAGGAGGAAATGCAGGCGCTGAGCCGGGAGCACAGCCGGACCTGTCAGCAGCTGCAGGCTGAGCAGGAGAAGGTGGCTGTGCTGGAGGCCCAGGCAGAGCGGCTGGCTGGCCTCCAGGCTGACTTGTCCAGCGCTCAGTCATGGGCAAAGGAGAAGGAGAAAGAGGAGCAGAAGCTGAGGGCCGAGATGTCATCCCTTCAGGAGAAGATGGCTGTGGCAGAGCAAGCAGCAGCCCAGCGTGTGGCCAAGCTGGAGGCAGATGCCCAGAGAGCTGCTGAGGCACTGGAGGGAGTCTCCCAGCAGCTGTCCCAGGAGAAGCTCAAGTCCAAGGAGTTGGAAGGCACCATGGATCAGCTGCGGATTGCAGAGAAGGAGCTGGTGTCCCTCCGCTCTGCCGTGCAAGAGAAGGAGAGCTGGAAAGAACAAGTGTCCCAGTGTGTCCAGGAGATGGAGAGGAAGAACACCCTGATCAGCAGCCTGGAGCAGGAGGTCTCCATCCTCCATCACCAGGTGAAAGAGAAGGAAGGGGAGAGCAAGGAGCTGAAACGCCTGATCCTGGCTGAGTCGGAGAAGAGCAAGAAGCTGGAGGAGAGGCTGCGGGTGCTGCAGACAGAGATGGCCACCGCAGCCTCCCGTGCAGCCGAGAGGTGCTCACTGATGAAGGTGGAGGTGCAGCGGTGCCAGGACGAGATGGAGAAGCAGCGGATGACCATTGAGGCACTGAAGAGGGACCGCCACAGCCAGAGCGAGCGGGAGGATGAGCTGAGGCAGGAGGCAAAGGTCTGCCAGGACAAGTGCCTGCAGAAGGAGCAGCTCCTGGCCGCTCTGCAGCAGGAGCTCGACAGTGCTCGGGCCAGACATGCCTCCCTAGAAAGCCAGCAGCGCCAGGACCTGGAGCAGAGAGCAAAAGCCGTGTCCACGCTGCAAGGCGAGCTAGCGCAGACCAAGCTGGAGGCGGCCAAGGTGCCATCGCTGCGGGAGCAGCTGGCAGAAAAGGAGCGGGCCCTGCAGGAGTATGAGAGCAGCAAGGGGGCAGCCTTGGAAGAGAGGAAGAAGCTCCTGGAAGAGAGGCAGAGACTGACAAGTCAGGTAGGAATTTCACTCCCAGCAGGAGGGATGTGGATGGGGGTGCCCTCCTGGAAAAGGGATGTGTTCACCCTTCTGCACAGCCCTGAATCCATGTCCTGCTCAGCACAGGGACTAGGGGTGTGGGACACATTTCTAGGTGTGAAAGGGACTGTCACATTCAGGTGCTGGAGTGTTTCCAGAGAAGAGCAGCAATGCTGAGGAATGCTCTGGAGCAGCAGTGTGATGAGCAACAGCTAAGGGAGTTGGGAGGGGGGCTAAACCTGGAGAAAAGGAGGCTGGGGGGGACTGTCTCTGCCCTGAAAGGGTGAAACAGCTCCCTGACAAGAGGATGCAGCCAGATGGGGATCTCCCAGGTAACTTGTTCTGCCAGTTAACAAGTGGCATGACAATAGGAAATAGTTTCAAGTTGTGTCTGGGGAGGCTTTAGGTTGGCTATTAAGAAAAAATTCCTTCCCTGAAAGGGTTGTCCAGTCCTGGCACAGTCTGCCCACGGCAGTGGTAGAGTCCCTATCCCTTAAGGGATTTAACAGACATGTGGACATGGATTAGTGGTGGTCTTGGCAGTGCACTCAGTCTCAGAGGGCTTTTCCAACCTAAATGATTCCATGATTGTATGAAAAACCACCTATGTCTCAGCGGTGTACTCACCTCTACTTTTTGTGCTTGTGGGTGGAGCAGTTGGAGATAATCCAGAAGGACCAAACTAAGCAGGTAACACACACCAAGAGCTGGCTGCTCAGTGACAGTGCACAGCCCTCCTTGTTTGTCACTTCCTGCTGGAGCCACCCTCTCCTCTGTACTGTACTGTGAACTGTGGACTGTACAGTACTGTGAACTGTTCACAGCATGGACCCAGCCATGGGGCACTTGGCTCCAAGTCTCTGGGCACCTTCACCTCCAGGGGGCAGTAACTGGGCTCCCATCCTGCCACCTGCTCCCTCACATTAGTGCCTGCAACTTGGCCTGGCTTCTCACATGCCCCATGGCAGGACATGCAGTAAGTGGCTGCCAGGAGCATGCAGGGCTCCTCAGCATAGGACTGTCTCAGTGCTGGGATGGCTTCTCCCCCCACCTTTAACCAAGCCCAGCTCTTGGCACAACGGATAGGAACAGCTGTGCTCAGCCAGCGTGGCCCAGATGTGGCTAGAACAGCATTGATCTCAGGTGTGGTAGGAGTTAGCACTTGGGAAACAATGCTGGAAAAGCCACATTTCCCTGTCCAGTCCCGGCCAGAGCTGCCCAGGACTCTGCAGAGACCTTGTGGCTATGAGCAGGGGGCTGAGGGCTCCTCAAGCATCCCCTGGAGCAGAGAGAGCATGGCCAGGCCAGAACTTGCAGCAGCCAGCTACCTGTGTCAAAGTGCTGGACGACCTGTGGGACTCCAGGTTGCAAGTGCTTGGGCACTGGGAACTTAACATGGGCTTTGCTTCCAGCCCGTGACTGCTCCTTATGCTTGGGTAGTTGCAGCCAGCCTTGCTGTAAGGATTAACATGGGGTGGGTGACTGTCACCTTGCCATGTCCTGGGATCTTCCTTGGCAGTGGGTGGTGCTCAGGAGTCACCGTGTGGCAGGAAATTTCCTCATTGTGCCCTAGAGCTGGCTAGAGAGGAAGGGCTGTGCTCCTTCACAGGAAGATTGTAGTTTTGTGCCTGGAGCTGGTCTCAGCAAGCCATGTTCTTTCTTCCAGGTGGACGAGCTGAATAAAAAGCTGACTCAGCATGAGAAGGCCACCTGGACCCAGCAGCAGAGAGTTAAGGTAAAGAGGGACCAAAAGCCTGGGGGCTGAGCCCTGGAGCTGTTGGTGCTGCCAGGGGGCTCACCTAGGTTGTCTCTAAGCCAGTCTCTTCCCTGTCCACAGGCACTGGAAGGGGAGCTGCAGACAGCAGTCAGAAGCCATCAGGAGAAGATGGCAGAGCTGCAGGTGCAGCTCACCCAGAAGGAGCAGGCAGCTGAGCACTACAAAGGGCAGGTATGCTGGGGGCTAGTATGGCCTTGCTGTCCCTGACACTGCTGGGAAGCTTGACAGGATTCCTCTGCTTTATATCCTAGATGGAGAAGGCAAAAAGAGATTATGATGCCAAGAAGCAGCAGAACCAGGAGCTATCAGAGAAGCTGAAGGCCATGGAGAACCTGCAGAAAGAGAACACAGAGCTTCAGAGCAAATCAGAGAGGCTGGCCAAGGAGCTACAGCAGAGCATCCTGCAGGCCAAGGAGTCTGAGATGAGCTGCAAGAATCTTACCAGCCAGATCTGCAGCCTGGAAGCTCAGGTGGGTATGGCATAGTTGAGCTTCACCCTCCTTGTCCTCGCTTCCATCACCACCTCGCTTGGAGGACAGATCCATCCATTCCTCCCTGTTTCCCATTCAGGTGCAGGAACTCAGCAAGTTCCAGGGGAAGACTGCCACAGTAAAGGGACATGAGGCTTCCTTTGAGAGTGTGGCTGACCAGAGCACTGATAGCCTCGATGAGGCACAGCAGCTCAGCTCCTCCAGGTACCAGATCAATCTGTTTCCAGCACCCCAAAAATCCACCATTCCCGATGGCCTGGTCAGCCTGCTGGTGCTACCCTCATCCCCTGTCTCTGCAGGAAGGCTACCAGCTCTCAGCTGGAAGTCTCAATGGTGCCGTCAGACAGTGAAGAGTCATTGCTGTCTCAGCGGCTGCCCCAGACCAAGTCATCCCTGGAGAGTCTCTACTTTACTCCCATCCTCTCTGAGACGCGCTCACAGCTCCAGAGCAGCGCCAACTTCCCGGCAGACTTCTCGCTGGACTCCGGCTGCAAGACCCGCTCTGCCCGGCGCCGCACCACCATCAACATCACCATGACAGATGTGAGCAGGGGGCCCCTGCTGGGGAATGCAGGGATCAGGAGCAGCACTGCAGAGGGACGCAGCAGGCTGGGAACTGAAAAGCTGAACATGACCTGTTAATGTGCACTGGCAGCCTAAAGTCCAGCCATGTCCTCAGCTGATCCCCACCCCCAGCACAGTGGGTAGCAGTGCAATGTGGGGATTTTGCCCCTCTGATCCACTCTGCATGTGAAACCCCACCTGCAGAGCTGCTTCCAGCTCTGGGGCCCCAAGATCAGAATGACATGGAGCTGCTGGAGCAAGGACAGAGGAAGTCACAGAAGCTCTCCAAGGGCTGAAGTCCCTCTACTTTGGAGATAGGTTGAGAAAGTAGGGGGTGTTCAGCCTGGAGAAGGCTCCAGGAAGACCTTAGAGCCACTGCCAGTGTCTAGAGAGGCTCCAAGAGACCTGGAGAGGGACTTTGGACATAGGCTTGGAGTGACAGGACAAGGGAGTGTGGCTTCCCATTGACAGAAGGCAGGGTTTGATGGGATATTGGGAAGAAATTCTTCCCTGTGAGGCTGCCTAGAGAAGCTGTGCCTGCCCATGCAGCTTAGAGCAATATGGTCTAGTGGAAGGTGTCCCAGCCAAGGGAAGGAGGAGGTGGAAGGAGATGAGCTTTAAGGTCTGTTCAACCTAAACCCTATCTATGGATTTTTCTCTCCCAGAAACAGGGAGAGCCTGAGGAACTGGCGCAGTCCACAAAAACATCTTCCCCTGCTAAGGGCCGTCTGCGCTCAGGTGCCTCCACCCGCTCCCTCACCAGCTTCCCCTCCCAGGAAACCCTTGCAAAGCTGGAAGCCTCCTCCCCAGAGAAGAGCCCTGGCCATTCAGTACTGCTGGGCCTCCCTGGGTACCGACCGGTCACGCGTAGCTCCCTGCGCTTGCAGCGGACCAGCAGCTCCAGCCTCGGTGTGTATGGGCGGGGAAGGCACGGGGACTGCTGGCTGTGGGGTTCTGCCCTGTCTTACCTGGAAGCCCCCTGACCCTTCCTTGCTTTGGATTTAGGCCAGAGCACCATGCAGCTGGGCATGTGCCAGGATGAGCCGGAGCAGCTGGATGACTGGAACCGCATTGCAGAGCTGCAGCGGCGGAACCAGGCCCGCCCTCCCCACCTGAAAACCAGCTACCCCCTAGAGAGCATGGTAAGGGCCGGGAGGGGGAGGTCAGGCAGCCCTTTGTCCAGAACTGGGGTTTGGGAGGGAGTCTGGGAAAGGACAGTGCCCTCAGCAACATCCCCACATCCTCTCCCCAGCCCTCCACCTCCTTGGGAACCATCACGGATGAGGACGTGAAGATGGGAGACCCGGAAGAGACGCTGCAGCGTGGCAGAAGGCAGTCCTCCCAGCCCATGGCCGCCAGCAGCCAGTGCAGCAGCCAGGCCGGCAGCATCACCACCCGGCAGCGGAGGAAGCGCCTCTCGGAGGAGACCCACCAGGGCCCTGACACCCCCCCGGTGAGCTCAGCCCAGTCCCCCAGCACAGCACCCTACTGGGAACAAGGAGCTCATCACAGCTCCCACTGGGAACAAGATGGGTTCCAGGGTTTGAGGGAGCTGCTGTGGCCCCCATTCACCACATTTTCCCACTCATCCTGGATTCCAGTGCCCAGTATTCCCAGCATTCAGTGGTGTGTCTGGTACTCGTGATGCTCCCAGTGCTGGCAAGGAGGCCATTCCAGAGGCGAAGGGCTGAGCCTTCTGCCTTCCCTGGGCACAGCAACCCTCAATCACATCCCCTCCCTGTGTCCCCTCAGTTCCCTCATTGCTGCCAGCCCCACAGCAGGCTGACCCCCGGATGGCAGTACTAGCTGGTCCCCTGTTTTCCAGTCCAAGAAGCCAACCAGCTGCTTCCCACGGCCCCAGAGCTCCCAGGACCGCGGTGCACAGAGTGGCTCCCAGGCCAGTCAAGACAGCGAGCAGCGAGCCCCAGCCACACCAGTAAGTTTCAGAGGGAAAAAGAAGGATCAGGAGGGACCCCTGTATCCTGCCCCATGCTGAGCTAATGGTCCTGCCCCTCTTTTGCAGGCTCGGAGGCGCCAGTCGATGGCGTTCAGCATCCTCAACACCCCCAGGGAGCTGGGGAGGCGCCTGCTGCGCCGGGCCATCGCCCAGAGGGGCACTCCCACATCCTCCAGCGGCACCCGCCGCTCGTCCCGCATCGCCACCGCCAAGTCCCCAAAGGGCAAGGTAGGCACTGCCTGACCCCCTGGGCACGCTGCTGAGCTCAGGCTCAGTGCCCCCAGCTCCTGCCTTGGCTTCATACGGGCCATGGGGACAAGGGGCACAGTCCTGCTGGCCCTGGGGTGCTATGGCAGCAGCAGGTCCCAGCATGGGGCTCGGTCACATTCATGGTCCCTAACCTCCCATCTTCGCTCTGTCCTTTCCAGGCCAGTCGCCAGTCGCGCACGGACAAGCGATCCTGAAGTTTCCCCAGTCCCTGCGTGCTGGCTCTGCCCTGGCCTCCCACCTGCACCCTCTCTTCCTGCCCCTCCAGGGCCCAGGAGCACTGAGGATGAACAGGTGGGGCCACCCACACGACTGCCATGCATATCCCAGTGAAAACTGTGAGGTGCCCTGGGCACGGCAAGGCCCCCTTGCCCTTCCTGTAGCCATTGTCATCCTAAACCCTTCCGGGACCCAAGGCAGGGGGATGCACAGAGGTTGAGGGCTGGAAACACACAGGGGTGCAGGGGCTGGCACCAGGCTGCAGCTGGAGGGGCTGAGCTCTCCCCAGAGATATTCTGCAGCCTCAGGTACAGGGACAGAGGTGAAACTTAGCATCCCTCGGGCCACCACCTTTGCTCCCTGTGTGTGGGACCCTCCCAACCTGCCCGGTCCTCCTGCTCCTCCCAGGGAAGCTGAGGCAGCATTTTTAAATGTTTCTACTTGTAAATAAAGTGTATTTTTCACCTGCTCTGGGGGTCCTGGCTTCCTCCTCCTACAGTCCACATGCACTGGAACCCTTATCAGGGCTTGAGGGGAGGAAAAGCGTGAGCTTCTCCTTGCCCTATCACTGAACTACACAGGTAGTCCCAAGGCAGGATGCTCACCCACGGACCCTGCAGCACCACCAAGCAGTCATTGTGCAGATTTCTCTTTCTTATTTTTCTCTTTGAACTTACTCTTCGGCATAGCAACCCCTGCAATTACAGTGCTTCAACCCCCACCAAACCTGGCCATGGGGCTGGAAGCACCTTCTCCATCCTCACACCAGCCTTGCCACAGATGTTCAAGGGGCTGCAGTGTCTCTGCCCCTTGGGGTACTGCAGGTTCAGCCCTCAGGGGTGGTGACACAGGGTTTGTCCCCAGCTCTGTCCTACTGCAGGCACTGGGCTGAGGACAGGGCCCCTGGTGTCTCCCTGCAGTTGCGGGCATGCTGCTCCATCTCTGCCACGCCAAAGGGCAGCTGGCAAATGGGGCAGGGCACCCAGGCATCAGGGGACAAGCAAGGCCAGGCCACAGTAGGTTCTTCTCCACACTGGGAGGCGTGTGGGGAGCAGATTCAGCAGGAAGTGGCCTGTGGAAAAGGGAAGGTGCTATGGTTGTCACAGGCCCCCTAGTGTTGGGATGATGTGGGGTTTGGGCTGACACCCTCCCTGATGGTTCTCATGGCAGCCTGGGAATACACTGTGATGCCCCTCCAGTGCCAAGGCACCAGCAGGAGTGATGTGTCCCAGCTACAGAACTGCCACCACTATGCCCATTTACTGGCCACAGAGGACACCCCTGCCAAGCAGCCACCTGAGCAGATGGGGCAGACACCGTCTCCCCATCACTGCTGGCCTGTCCTCTATCATTTCTCCTGACTTGTCTCTCTTGGGAACCACAGGCTTGGGCTGTTCCTTTCCCCCTGGGTGTCCTTGAGGTGGCAGCTGGAGCCCTGCACAGGGGTAACATGCTGGAGGTACCCTATGCCACATCCTGCCAGCCCAAAAGAGTGAAGGGCAGTGCCCAGAACTGTCTGGGAAAGGCTGAGAGCAATAAACAGCCAGGTGAGGGCAGGAGAAGGCAGTGACCCATAGGATTACCTGCCAACAGGACTGTGAGCACAGTGCCTGTCCAACTGCCTGCAGGTACTCAAGGGAGCTGCAGGCACATCTCCAGTGCAGAGCCTGGGGAAAAGCAGGAATGACAGAGGCAGAGGGCAGTTTGGGTTGGAGGAGATTTTAAAGCTCATCTTCTCCTAAGCCCTCCCCATACCATAGGTAGGGACACCTTCCACTAGACCAGGTTGCTCCAAGCCCCATCCAACCCAGCCTTGGAACACTTCCAGGGATGGGACAGCCACAGCTGCTCTGGACAACCTGTGCTGGTGTCTTACCACCCTCACAGGGAAGAATTTCTTTGTAATATCCCATATAACCCTGTCTTCTGTCAATTTGAAGCCACTACCCCTTGTCTTGTCCTCCCAGGCCATTGTCCCTCTCCAGTTCTTTTGGAGCCCCTTTAGGCAGTGGAAGGGGCTCCAAGTTCTCAGAACCTTCTCATCTCCAGGCTAAACAGTCCTGGATGTCCCAGCCTCTCTCCACAGTAGAGGGGCTATAGCCCTCAAGAGGATCTCCACAGCTTCCTCTGGACTCATACCCGTTGCTCCACACTCTTCTGATGTTGGGGGTCCCAGAGCTGGAGCAGCTCTGCAGGTGGGCTCTCACCTGAGCAGAGCAGAGGGGCAGAATTCCCCCTTGCCCTGCTGCCCACAGTGGCTGGGAGCCAGCCCAGGACACAGCTGTGCAGATTCACTCACCTGGCACTGCAGGACCTCCCACATCCTTGGCCAGCAGCTCCAGGTGATGCCCCACGGTGCTCGTGCCAGCTCTGGGCCTCAGGGCCTGGTTCTGGTTCTGTGCTCTCAACAGCTCCATCCAGGCAGAGTGGCTGAGGTGGGCTGGGCTCCAGGCAGCCCCATCCAGCTTCCACAGGCGGCTCCTCACTTGGTTCTCCTCCCTGGATCTCCTGGGGATAGGGAGGGGCAGCCTTGCAGGAGGGTGTCACTATCGGACAGGAAAGAACACAAGCGCACACCGCTGTTCTCAACGTGGAGAAAAAAGGGAAGTTTATTTTCTGACTCCAACATTTATAGTTTTCCAAGAGTGACAGTGGATTGGAGGGTGACAGCGCCACCTCTCCAATGACACTGGACAGACAACAGTCTATCAACTCTCTCCTCCTCCATAAAGGAATGCAAAACAATGAGTTATTTACAGAAAGTGTATGAGAAAGTTTGCTACAAGAATGTCAACATCAGAAGGCTTAGAAAATCTTAAAAAACCAGTGTCACAGGAGGACAAGGCTGGTGGGAGCTGGGGCTCTGGGCTCCAAGGAAGCACCTCAAGGGGCTCCAGGCCACACTGTGCAGGGACAGGATGGGGTGGACAATGTCAGGCCATATAAAAGCATGATTCAGAAAAGAAAGACCTGTGAAAGGCAGGGCTGGAGCACCAGGGTCTGTCAGAGCTCAGCATCCTCCTGTGGTACAAGGAGAGGCCCCAGGCAATCGAGAGAGGTTCCTTGTGCCCACCACTCTGGGCACAGCCCCTAGCTCAGCACACCAAGCACCTCCTGGGCTTTCCATGGGGCACAAATGATGTCTGTGGAGAATCAGCCCCTTCATATTGCCTCCCCACAGAGAGGGACACATGGAAGTGTGAGAGACACCTACTGTGTCCAGGGGTGGCGGTGGGGGGTCAGGCTCCTGCCCCTGTGGTTTGTGCAGGCGGATGAAGCAGAGCTCAAAACAGCTTCATGGACTGAAGGGCTGGCTGCAGGTGAGCTGCAGTTCTGGAGACATGCACAGGACTGAACACACTGAGTTCCTGCAACAAGAGCCGAAGTTTATTGGTGGGCACCCCCTTTTATAGGGGCTTCAGAATTCCTGCACTTGAACATTTGATTGGCTGGGGTCTCAACCCCACCCAGCTCACTGGCCAGCTGGTGCCTGCATTCAGGATTGAATGGGACTGGCTGGGCTCCCCTGCTGGAGTTCAAACCCTACTTATCACTGTCTTACCCAGGGACTTGTTTACCTCTACTCTTTAATGTACCAGGCTGGTCAAGTTGGGGTCTGTTATGGCCAATTTTAACTGTGCAGCTCCAGACCAGCTGCAGCTGTCACAGCACATGGTCCCATGTCTGCCCCACCGTCAGCTCTGAGCTCTGCTGTGGGGAAGGGCACTGGCCACTGGCCCAACAGCACTCCTGCCTCTGCTTGTTGCTCTGCTGCTGTGCCACCCAGAACATCTGGGGGATTATGGGCACAAGAGAGGGCAGGGAAGCAGAGCTGGCACAGTTTTCCTGAGCCCATAAACAACCCTAACTCCTGGTCTACCTGTCCTCTTCCCTACCTGTCCTTCTACCCTCCTATCAGCCTCATCCTACTGCCAGCCCCATTCTATCACCATCCTCCCAAATCACCTCCATCCCACGACCAGGCCCACAGCTCTTCCCCATGCCTTTTTCCTTTGGGTCAATTCTTACCTTCCTAAAACATCTGAACCCTGCAGCGATTCTGGTCCAGCTTTGAGTCAGCTGGTGTCATCAGTGGGCACCAAGGTGTGACAGGGCTGGTCACAGGGCCACGAGGAGCATCCCACCTCAGCCTGCAGAAAGGCACAGCTGTAGTTCCCTGGGGAGCAGCGAGAAGGACAGGGGCAAGGGGCTCAGAGCTGCTGACCCCACTGTGGGGCATGGCCCTGGCTCCTGCACGGGAGTGGGGAACAGGGAGGTGTCAACATCAACACAGCCAATGGGACTGGCTCTCTCCAGTCACAGCCCCACTCTCAGCTGCCTGCTGTGACCCTTGGGGCAGCCAAGCCAGGGCTGTACGCTGTCCTCACTCAGCAGGTTCTCTGCCTTGGGGTACTTGGGGTCCTGCACACACACCAGGGACACAGCATCAGGTACCAACCAACCCCTCCCTAAACACCCTCCCCTCCAGCTCTAGCTTGTTCTGGACATGGGGAGAAGCATGGAATTCTCTGGTAACCTACAGGAACAACATTCCATTTTGAGAGAGCAAGAATGATGTGAATCCTTGCCCTTCTGCTTAACAAGGTGAGGTAGTACTGCACCCTGTCATGGCCTGACCCACCTCTTCCAAGACCCCAACAGCTCAGAGGGATCAGCCCCACACCCAGCCCCCCAGAGGGAGCCCCCAGGCACCTGGGAGAAGGACAGCACACAGCTGATTTTAACCGGAGCCATTCCGGAGCCTTTGGAGACAGCACTGGCAGAGCGCAACTTCCCTTCGGATGCCTCCGGTGCCTGGTGGGGAGAGAGGAGAGTCTGACGAGTTTGGACATCTCCTGGCTTTGGTACCATCCAGCAGCTCCCCAGTCCCATCCCACCGCCTCGGTGCCCCCCAGAGCTGCCCCAGCACCCCTCAGGTTCCCGTCCCAGCAGTAACCCCCAGATCTGAGTCACAATCCCCCAGCTCAGCCCACAACGCCCCATTCTGCCACCCGGGTACCACCCACACGCCCCAGCCCTGTTCCCCAGTGCCCTCAAGTGCTCACCCGCAGCTCCAGGGCCCGTGTTCCCAGACGCACGAACACCGCCTCAGCGCCATTCCGCTATCGCTGTAGCTCCCCAGTCGTTCTCCGCTTTCCCAGCCCTGTTAAAGCCCTGGCTGTGCCCCACAGCCTCTCCACGCCGTTACCCAACCCAGTTGGGGGGCCCACAGCTCCCGCCCAGCCCCATCGGCGCCGATCTCGGCCGCCCAAATGACGCGAGCCCCGATCCCCGCCGCTCCCGCCTCCCTTCAGCGCCGCTCCCGAGCGCGCTCCGGTTCGGGCCGCGGACGGGCCCGCCGCGGGGCCTGACGGGACACGCAGCCCGCGGGGTCCGGGAGAACGGGGTGGGGATGTGCCCTGAGGGGCTCGGAGGGTCCGTGGAATGGGACAGCGGCGACTTTGGGTCACTTTGATCTTGCAGAGCTTTGGGGCAATGGGTGTGGGGAGTGTTAGGGCGGGGGAGATCCTGGTGTGGGAGGACAGGGCAGGGTGGCACTGGCAGCTTCGGGGGGCCCATGGGGCAGGGACAGTGCGGGCTCTGGGGGCAGGAGGGCGGCCATGGGGGCACAGCTGTTTTTCCCATGCAGGCTTTTAATGTTTCTGGGGATGAAAAATTACAAAACTGGAAAAAAATCTGTCTGGAAAGGTGGAATTGTAAGCAGGGTGGGTGCGCTGTCACAGGTTCGTGCCACTTTCCGGCACTGCTGCCCGGGCTTTGCAGTGGCTTTCACCTTCCCCTGTGCTTCGTGCTTGGGAGGTTTTTTCCTAGTTGTAGAGAACCAGGAGAACTTGGTTCCATCCTGTCTGCACTGTGGGAGCAGCTGCACAGGGGTCATAAATTTGCTTAGCTTGTGCAGTCAGGTAAATTTTTGGTGCCTTTCCTCAAGAATTGGTGGTGTGGCTTAAAAATTGTCAGATGCTGGTGGTTGTTTTGGAGAAGATTGCTGGCAGGGCCCAGTTGTGGAGATGCCCTAGTGCATGGCTGAGCTGTGGGAGCTTGTACCTCTGCCCTGTGCCTTGTGTTGCTGCTGGAGAGCGGTGCAGTGGGGTGATGGGAGGATTGAATCCCAGATCAGTCACTCTTGAGTTGCTGCTGGTTATATTTTAAGATACTCCTTGGTGACTTTGTATGTAAAAATGTGGAAGATCCAAATCACTGATCCTCAGAAGTGAAATTCCCACTTTTCATTCCATTAGGGCCTGGCAGTGAGGGCATCACAAGGAGGGAGCGAATGAGGAGGTGCATATAGGACTGCTTATCCCTGTGATTCCACACATGGTTGGGGCAAAACCTATCTGCTTGTGCTGTCCTGAGGTCTTGGCAGCTCTTTGGGCAGAGCAGTTTGCTGACGAGCCACTCATGGTGGGGACCAGAATAAAGCCAAGTGTCCCATGGCCCTGGCTCTGCCAAGACCACCACTAAACCATGTCTCTAGGGGAGGCATTTTTCCATATTTGCCCCTGGAGGCCTCCAATGAAAGACCAGCTTTTATATTACCTCCTTTATGGAAATGGTTTTGCATGTGTGTTGTTTTGTTCCTAGATTTTGAAGGCAGCAGTTCCTTGGGGATGCAGGCAGGAGAGCCTGCCCCAGAGATGGGGGTAGCAGAGTGGGTCTGGCTGCATGGGGCCTGGGCTGGCTCAGGATAATCCAGCTTGTGTGTGTGTCACGATCCGTCCTTACGAACAGGGTTCATGATGGTTCGTGGATTGATCTCAGGGTGCAAAAGAACCGACACGGCACAGGGGATTTGCAGTAATATTCAAAACAAATGCACCTTTATTGAATGACCACAGCAAAATGCGATAGAGGGATTAAGGGAGAGAAAAAGACAGAGAAAGAGAGAAAAGAGAGAGAGAAAGAGGGGCGTGTAGCTACCAAACGTAGAGACGAAGTCCTTTGGTCCAGTCCCGTCGAGGATCCGCCTGCTACATTGGGGAGATCTCAAAATCTCTAGCTAACTCAGAGGTTTTTATTATGATAACTCTATTGAAAATTGTGAGAGGGGGGAGAAACAGGTACAATAAGGAATAGATGTACCAGGTAGTCCATGTTCTCAGCAGTAAATGAGAGCCATTGTTTTCATGGTCCAGTGGTTACATCCTGCAGGCAAACATCTCACTTTGGTCAGCTTGCCTTCCCCCACACACCTCCGCCAGGTTGGGGGTTTCAGTCCCAGTCCTTGGAAGGAGCAGAGGGGCCTTTTCACACAGAGGTTTCATGTCTCGGTCTTTGATGGAGAGGCTTCTTACATCCCAGTCTGTCTGTCACGGTGGTTGTAAAACAGGTGAGGGTCTTCTGTGGGAGACCACCTGAAATCAGGAGAAGTCAGCCAGGCCGAGAGGTGGGACAGCTTCCAAGGCAATTGTTGCAAACAGGGCACGGTGCCCCCTTCTCATTGGGCTCAGTGTATCATACAGCAAACAAGACCTGTGAAAACAATAACTTAGCACTGTGCTCTCAGGTCTCGGGGCCTTTGGCCTGTGTAACTTTCTCCTACAAAGCCAGGGATTTTCAGACGGGGGGGGTGGTCTTCTCTTTGGTGGTCGCCCCAATGAGGGTCATGAGGCAGATGAGGATATTTCGTACAGACTCATACATGATTCTGTGACTCACGATTGTCTTGAAGGGATCTTCATCAGCAGGGCTCTGAAATCTCGCTGATAGGATTCGCCGTACGTTGGTAGCATAACCCGGAAAAAATAGAGACAGTTTGACAGAGAGAGAGAGAGAGAGAGAGAAAGGAGGAAAAGAAAGGATAGGAAAAAGAAGGGGAAAAGGGAGACAATAAACACAATTAATATTGATTATCATAACAATTTTCACAAATGGTTGAATAATTAAAATAATATTATTTTTGTAACAATTTTCAAAATGATTGATTAATTAAAACAATATAATTTTTATAACAATTTTTAAATGGTTGAAACAAATCACAAATAATCAAAAGCAAAAAGCAATAAACAAATCATAATACAAGTAATAATTTAAAAATTATTTTCTAAAACAATTCACTAAAAATTGAAAGTAATTCTCACAAAATCATAAACAGGAATCAGGATTTACTCTAAAACACATATGCCTAATTCATAATTGCTTTGTGTCAAATGTCTTGGGGATGTTCACAGTGTAGGGGACATCAGCCAAGTTGTGTGCATTAACTATAGACGTCAATCTTGTCAGCTGTCTTTTCACCGTCTTCTAATTCATAACAACTAGGACTGCTGATAAAATAAAACCAAACAGAATTAAAATCAAAAGGATAACAATGGGATGACACACACTGTTCAAGGCATTAATGGCAGTAGGAGACCACCCAAAAAAGAGTATCCCACCACTTGTGCTCAGCATCTTCCTCCACTCTTTCCATGACACGGTGTATCTGTCTCACATTGTGATGAACAGTTACCAGAGTTTTCTGTCCAATTTTCTTAATCTTCTCAAGGATTTCAACTAAGTCTCCATAGAGCAGCAGTTGTCTTACCAAAGTGAGATTCATCTCAATAGGAGTAGGCATCAGTTTGTGAATCAGTGTGTAGTTAGATTGCAATAGGTAGTGAGAGGTAACTGGAGCTTCATAAGAGAAATCACATCCTGTAATCTTGGGAAAGTTACAAGCACAAAAATTTGAATGATTTTTAGTATCTACTACAACATTTTCTACAAATACAAAATCACAAAGGGTTCTAAAGCATGCACATCTATTGCCTATGTATATAAGAACTGTTTCAGAAGTCTCGTTAGGACGAATTTCAAAATTACAGATATTTTGCTCTGTGTCTAAACAAATGTCTTGAGCTATGATTGCATTGCTTTCACAGATGAGCCCTTGTTGTTCTCGGGCAATACTTAACAGTTTGCCATTTCTTACCAATTTGATGGGCCCATTCTCTATGTTCAGAAAGATAGAGAATAGCTCCGTCGTAATTCAGTTCTAATGCTCTACCAGGGAAAATCAAGTGCACTGAGGCATTGCATATGGTTAACACAAAAGTTGTGTCGGTGCTTCAAATGGGGTCATAGGTCAAAATTCACTAGGTTCTACCAGGATTGGAATTCTCTTTCAAAGTCAATGGCACTGTCCCAAATTAATTTCCAAATTTCAGAGGGAAAAGTGCCTTCTTCACCTTCTCTTATAGTTGAAGCAGAAACTGACTGCATCCACAATTGCGCCTGGATACAGCTGAGAGCCAAAGAAACCTTGTTTTGTGTAGCACTGAGTGCATCAATTACCAATTTGTGATCATTTACATTTACCTTCTCCCAATTTGGTAATATGTTTGATAGCAGCCACTGGTGTGTTCACAAAAGCCAATAAGAACGACTGCAGTGGTTGCTGTAATGTGATCAAATCTCTAATTGTGACAGCCAATTTATTCAAGTTCAATTAATTTACATGTCATGTGTAATATCATCCCCTGGTGTTACCATAAAGGGAAGGGAAAACATGATTTCTGTTGTCCATCACTAGTGTTATCATGGTTTTTCAGGTCTTCGTGTCCCTCGGAGTTCTTCTGTAAAAGTAAACACAACAGACTCTGCCACAAAGAGGCAGAAAAAGTTAGAACAATGGAATTGTCAGAGAGGTTTTGAACAGCAGTGGTACTTCCCCTCCTGCAGCGGGGGGTCGACCAAAAGCAGGTTGCCCAGGGTAATGTGCTGGGTTCTTGAAATCATCTGGTCTCTATAGTGAAGGAATGATGCTTGGAGCTGTCGGGTAAAAAGCAGTGATTTTGGAACACTCATTTAGCCCCCCCCATCTATAGTAAGAGGTGTGAGAAGTCTATTTAATCTTTTCACCTTCTGCCCAATCCTGCACATGTTTGACAGTAAAGTGAGAAATATTAGGAGATTAAATTTCCTGTGGTTTTAGGAAAATTCCAAAGCATCCTTGCATTGCTTTAACAGTATTATCTCCTGTAGCTCTTTTAAAAGCGTCAGCCAGGAGCAACCCATATATAAACATAGCATAGGACTTGGTGTAAATACAGACAAGAAAATAATTTTGTCCCTCACTTTGGAAAATACACCAAACAGTTAACTCCTGACGCCAGCCCATTTCCCAGACCTTTACTTTGATCCCATGTACTGGGCTTTGTCACACACTTGAAATCACCTGTCACTCTGCGTCCTGGTCTTTGCTCTGTCCCTGTGCCATT